GCGAGTAGAATTGCTCACTGCACTCTTAGTTTTACTTCCAATGGAGCATCGATGCTGAGACTCTATTCCCGCACAAGTTTACCGGTAGCGCTAGCGACGCACCGGTACTTCTGTCGCCAGGTGACAAAAATGACAAACCGCAGAACGAGACGAACCAGAAATGCTCTCAGAAAAATGATTTTATTCAAATTGTTACCGTAATAATCGAAACCTTTCACCTTTATCAATTATTGCGCTTCGGTTGCTGTCAGACTGAACATTACTTTTCGCTTCCTACCGAACAATGAAAAATTCTTAATTTGGCGAAAATAAGTAATTTTATGAAAACATGAAGAAAAAAAAGTTTTTTATCGGTAATATCAACAAAAGCGCAATTTGGAAACATTTAAAGAACACCAAGCCCATGTCACGCTTGTCTTTTATGGTGACAAATTCAACTTTTTGGTGACAATTTTTGGTGATAGCGTTACTTGCATCGAAATACGCATCATAAATTAAATTAAATTGTATTAAATTAATATTATAATATTGATAATATTAATTAAATTTATCATTGATGGTTAAATATTATTGAGTTTTCGTGAAACTATTGTTCACGAAAACAGAATTCAATGAAGCTAAGTAGATATATGGGCGAAAAAAGAAAGAACGAGAAAAAAATTTTTTCGATTTCATCGATTTTAAAATAGAAAATTACGAAAAATCCTATCCCAGGAAAGATTCCAATTTGCATAATCGTGGTTGGGTGGCTATTTTCTCGATAAGCACCCTCTCCTTTCAGCAAACAACCTAAACAACGAATGAAATGGACCAGTGGGCTATTCTTTATATTTCAAAGCGTCGATACTGGAGTTCCGCTCTCGACAAACATAAACCGGTCTTTCAAAAATCGGATGATGTTAATGGGTCATCTGTATGCACTTTTATCTGTCTACTGGCAAAGCTGGCCTGATCAAGTATAGTCAGAAAACAATTTCTGGCTAGGCCAACAGAACACTAGGAATCTTTTCTTCAAGGGAACACTTGGTCGTAATTAGGTGATGATTCTTTTAGCTCTGATCAAGCTTATCGCTTGCTGTCAGTCAGCAGGAACAACAATATGAACTTACCTACTGTTTCCCTCAACTAATATTCACTTCCAAAAACATCAATAAACACACTAAATATACAAAATTTGGCCGGCACATTTCAAGTGATTCGCTTGCCCAAAATAGTGGCATTATCACCAGTAACAGCAATAAGTTTTAAAGTTCCTCTCTAAGTTTAATTTTTAGAGAAAATGGCTCCTTCTTTATTTTCTTCTAATGGCGCATACCAATTTTCATCTTTAAAAAAAGGCTCGAATTTCATTGAAATAATTAATCGGTTCCCAGTCATTTAGGAAATTTAGGAAAATCTTTTAAATGAAATTTAAAAGATAAATGAGAAATATAAATAAGTGCATACAAATGGAAAATAAGATAAAAATGGATACTTAGGAGATCAAACTTAATATAAAGCTTTTCTCTCGGGATTCGAATATGACTACGGATTCGGTGGAATGAAGCGATTTCGATTTTTATTGAAAGATTCTTAAATTTATTAAAATTCGCTGCTGCATTTAGCTCAATCGTATCCAATAACTTTTTGGCCTTTCTTTGTATTTGCAATATTAGCAATAATTTCTAATAATTTTATAAAAGGTGGCAACCTGGAAAGCAAAACCTGCAATTTGGTCATTAATTAGTGGTAATGTTTTAAAAATCTACAAATATTATTTTGGCATCTATTTTCTCAACTTCGCAATCGCATCATTTAATCAAAATTGTAAACTTTTGTGCATCCATAAATTACGACCATAAGCCTGAGATTCGCGAAGGTTGAGTTAGTGGAAGTGGTATCTCTGACTGACTTCGCCGGTCTGTTAGCAACTGTAGATATTTTTTGGTAGCTGCGACAGTAATATTATTATTACGTCACCTCAATGTGCAGTTTAGAATCTCTTTGCACATATGAGGGGCGAAATTCTAGTGGAGAATTCGGTGGACAAAAAACAAGTAAATAAAAACAATAATAATAAATAACAAATAACATTAAAATAATAATAATAAAAATAATAATAATCGTATAATAATAATAAATAATATTCTCCCAAAGATTCTCAAAGATTTATTATCGAATCGCCTAAATCTTTCATTATTGAGATATTTGTTGAATTATAATTATGTGAGATAGATAGATTTATCATCCATCATTTCGCTGGAGACTTTGCTTTCGATATTTCCGATGCCAACGAATTTTCGAGAATATTTCTCAAGGAAAAATTTCGTGCAGCAAACTGTAAACTAGAAAACGACCGGATAAGCGCCACCATCCAGCGGAAAGCCAGCGGATAATAAGCTGGACGGATAATAGGTTGCTACTTCGCATAAGCCGCAGAATCTGGATTACCTGTATTGGCCGTCCTCTTCTATTCAAACGTTCGATATATTAACGATATATATTACTTGTAATATGCAGGTGACTCGGAAAATTTATCTCCCTCATGGCAGATCGGAGAATCGAAATGCTATTCAGAATAATTTTGAACAAAATCGCTAAGTGGCTCAATGAAAGCCATACCAGATTACCTACTGGCAAACGAATGAATCTGCATAAAAATGTTCGAAAATGCTCCGATCTCTCACCTGTTTGTAATTTTATTCTGACTCTTGTAAGTTAATGTTTCTCAGATCTGACTTTATTAGTCAGTGAAAGCACTGGTAACAAGCATCTTTGACAAACTCTTTTGCATAAACTGTGGAGTCGGCTGATGAACTGGTGAGCTGGCGACCGCGGGGAACTGGTCTTTCGGAACGAACTGCGCTCGTCTTGTTCGTTGCCACAGCTCGAAGAAATAAAATTTGTGATATAGCAAATAGAACTAAATCTCTAAACTAAAAAGCCATCTTTTAGAACTTCTAATATATATTTAGGAATTGGCCAAACGTCTTTAACAACACAACATCTATAATACACTGTTCGCTCGCACTTAATATAAATATAGAATAATTTTTTTCTCACACAAAGACTTTAAAAGAGCCAGGTTAATGGAACTATCACAGAAGTACTTCACACGGCGTTCCAATGCCAACCTTTCAATAAATTTTATTGATCAATCTTGACACGATGCCTAATTTTTACTGGATTTTTGCTGTTTGACCACATATCGCTGAACAGTGCTGTTTGTTGCTTGAATTGCTTCTGCTGGCCAGAGAAATGGACCCAAGCCAGACCTGGCACTGGGCGTATTGTCGACGACCTGCACTGCAACCTGCTTACCCGACTCGCCCGATTTGTACGGAGTGTTTATCCACGAATGGAAGAGATGAAATAAAAAGTGAAAACAACAAAAGGAAAACACAGCGATGAAGTGAAAACTGGAGGAACTGAAGTTTACGGCAGTTCGCTGCACGACGAGAAGGCACGTCGCTCGCCTTTCGCTGACTCCATTTCTGATTTTTAAATTAACTTTTTTCAGATTTTTTTGTTAATTTTATATTAATTATATTTATTTTCGTTCGATTTATATTCAATTTTCGTTTATTTATCAATTATTTTAAAAAGTTGAGAAAACGCTGAAATATTTAAGTCCATCGAAAATGAATCAATCCACATTTTGCAACCACTCAAACATCGGAATTACAGCAAAACCCTCCCTTTCCTCGGAAACTCGGACTTTTATCAGAAACCAAAAGAAATCCGAAGGCCGCGTATTAGTATTCAAAATTGAAACCGAATTTCTTCAATATATAAAAGTCGGCGCAGATTATAAGTCATGAATATAAATTTTTGGTTGAAAATTTGTGAGTTGAGGCGTTGTCGATGGAGACGTGGGAAAGGTTTTTTTTCATAAAACAGTTTTTTTTCAAAATTTAGCTAATTTTAAGATGGTGTAAAGTGCCTTTTTTACGATAAATTTGTTAAATTTTCAACGAATATTAATGATTGGTTAGATTCGTTTTTCACAATTTTAGCATTGTTTTGCATGGAAATATTTGCCTTAATTCAAAATTTGTATTTATGCATTTCGGCTATTTATTTATTGTTTTTCATAACTTTTCATTTCGCTCTATGTGTTCGCAAAAAAAGAATAGGCGAAATTGGTTGAGAAGCACCACTTTGTCGCCCTCTCTCCTTTTTTCCTTTTTTGATCACGTAAGAAGCGCTTTGAAGGATATTTCAATTCAAAGCCTAATTTCCTGCAGAAAGGAAATTTATGAATAATTTTCTCGTCAATAAAAAGTTAGAAGGAAAGAAAACGATGCCGCTTTTACGGGTGACTAATATTTTTTAATTTCCTTGAATATTTCTATTCAAGTTTTCGATGAAAGCATTTCTGATAACCTAATTATCATTCTAAATAATTGGTTGTCTAAATCAGTCAATATTTTTCAGGTGATTAAAAATGGATAATAAACCACATTATCAAATTTGTTTTTTCTGCTCCGATGAAAGGTTTATTTTCATTTTTTTTCGTCCTTTGTTGCCAGAAAATATCTTTTCCTCTAAAATTTTTCTTCTACTTATGTCGTAATATGTACAGGTAAGTTATCAGCGGAATAGAAGGTCAGTATCGGCGCTCCGAGTTCCCCGCAGGAGTAAACCCGTCCAAAAATCCGGGTGATGCTGGCGACTCACCTGTGTTTCTATCGCCAAGGCACGCTCTGGCATATTTGTCTGTGCGACAAGCCAGCGGAGCGAATTTAACCAGTAATGGTGAGGAATCTAAAAAAACCTTGTAATGTTTCTGGCTTGGCCCTGCTAAAGGTAAGATTTTTGCTATTTCAGGTATTGTTTACCGGAAACGAGTATAACAATTCCAGCTAGTGCTACACAAAATGAACTAAACAATGTTGTCAATAAATTGCTCAGCGATAAATCTGGTAATTTTCTTTTTTATTCGAAGTTTCTTTCAAATTTTAATTTTTATAAATTGAGATAAGAGGCTTTGAATAACGATTAGTCAGTTATTTTAAGGTATGGCTACATGTATGGAATTCACGATTTTTGTTATATCTATAAAATTTGTAGAAAACTATGCTGATTATAATGACTGATATTATACAATTTTTTTGATGTGTGTAATTTTTTTTAGATAATGGCTGGCAGCGGATTCATTTTGATTTTCTCATTGGAAATATTATCGTAAGAAATTCTTTGCAGAGCATTGTACAAGAGAACGATATTGCAACAGTAAATTGAGCATTTTATTTTTCTAAAAATTTCAAGAATTTTTTTAATTCAAACTTTTTGGATAATTAGAAAAATTTTTGAAGCTTTATCTGCAAATATCGAAGCCTTTGAAGGATTTCGTTTTTGTTTTATTTTTTGTCATTAAATTATTAGGCTCGAACTTATGGATTTTTTTGTTCATTTTAAATAGCAATAAAGAAAGTTTCTTAATAGCAAGGATTATTTCATTAATTTATTTCATTTAAAAATAATCTGACAATAAGCGACACATCTGAAAATGTTTTAGAAACGATAAAAAATTTAAGATAATAGATCTATTTTAGGATATCTATCATTCAAACTATATTTAAGGAATCTATTATCAGAATTGAATGCATTTTACGAGAGGCAGCTCCTGTTCCTCGCAATGAAATTAAATTAGCGGACTGGATAGGTGCTATACGAAGTAGCAATGATTTGTATGTCTTAAATTTATTTATTAATTTATTTATTACAAGGTTAATTTTTATTATTATTACTATTATTTTATTATTATTTATTATATTTTTGTAACATCATAAAACCTCATACCTTTTATATCAAAAAATATTCCACAGTTATTTAATTTTATTATCTATTTAGTATTTATGCTTTATTTATTTAGTATTTAGTATTGCCTGTGCTATTTATGATGGATCAATGTCTTTGTGTAGTCATAAGGGTTTTGAAATGTCCAACATCTTTTTACATGATGATGCAATAAAATGCTTGCATTTGTTTGAAAACGGGGGTTTGTCAAATTTCTTATTTAATTTTTTTTTCAATATTCCATTTTATTTATTGAATATGAAGACAAATGAATCGACCAAACATATTCCACATATTTTATATTTTTATACATATTTATTATACATTATTTGTTATACATATTTTGATTACGAAATTTGTTTCCAGAGCGAAGGATAGCCACAGGTGGCAGTGACCAGATAATAATATTGAGCGACGTAATTAATGAAAAAAATAAACCACATGTTTTGCCAACACATGTTTTACGGGGTCATGAGCGCAGCATAGAATGTATTGCTGGCAATAAAGATGGAAATCGCTTAGTATCTGGTAGTTTTGACCAAATGCTGAAGGTCTGGAACACGGATAAAGGTTTGATTAATTTTCCATATCCACTTGATCCATAATTCCGGAGGTAATGTCACTGGATTCTTTCCTAATCGAAATATGCAGTTCAAATTTTTTAGATGATTCATCAACATATTTCTCCAAAATAAGTGAAGAAAAGACTACGAAAAAAAAAAAAACTGATGTCGTCACGAAAGTATGTTTGTAATGTACCATTTGATTTTTTTATCTGAATTTTTAATTTAATTTACCAAATTTATAATTTTTAATAATTTTTTACGACAGAAAAAGATGAAATGAATCGTCAAAAGTTATAAAATTAGTCATGAATTTTAGTTACCTATGGTCACATTATCGGGGCACAAAGATGCAATAGTAGGAATAGCTTGGATGCCCAATTCGGATAAGAATGTAGTAACAGTTTCATGGGATCACACTATTATGATCTGGGATTTGGAGCTTGCAGGTGAGCTATTTATTCAGTTTTTAGCTTCCTTTTATTTATTTTTCTCTTATAATGAATCTTTAATTTATTTAATAAATTTAAAATTATATAGAATTAGAACTATATAGAATTTCTTAGGCCATATTAAATCTTTGCCATCGAGCAAATCTTTTACGAGTATATCAGTTTCTCCATCAAATGGTTTATTCATTACGGGCTCTGTAGATTCTATTCCACGTTTATGGGATCCGCGAAGTAAAGGTTATCATTTTTCAGCTTGTTTATTTGTGTTTTGCTATATTTTGATGTATGCTGCCTTTAAATTTTTATAAGAAATATTCGAAAAAATAAATACTCGAAAAAAAATCGAATTCCACCTGTTGCAGAAGGTTCATTTGTAAAACAAACTTATATTGGACATAAGGGCTGGGTAGCTTCAGTACGATGGAGTCCTTCTGATGATCATCTATTTATTTCATCGAGTTTCGATAAAAGTACTAAACTTTGGGACACAAGGTTATCGATTTCATTTTTTTCATTTTGATTTTTAGCTTTCACTGCTTGAAAGTTTTTCCGTACCTCTGAATTTTTTCTATTATATAAATTAAATATTTTTAATTAAAACTTAATTTAATTATAAACAATATAATATTATAAATTTTTATTGTAAATATACTTTTTAATTTGCGATCAGTAATGATTGTGTCGAATAATTTTTGATGATTCGAATTTACTAGTTTATTAAATTATTATGGATTTAGAAATTTATTATTGATTTCATTAGCCGAAATTTTTTCTCTTTTTTTCAAAAATTTAAGTCCAAATGGTCTAGAAATCTTAAAATAATGCGTTAAAAAAATTGTAGAATCAATAAAACACCTTTATACGATCTCCTTGGACACACCGATCGCTTACTTTGTTGCGATTGGTCTTTGAAACAATTAATCGCTACTGGCGGAGCAGATTCTTCCATAAAGACATTTTCACGGAATAGTTTTTGATTTTTTAGTTATTTTATTAATTATTTCAGTTTTTCTGTTTAGCCCATTAGCAAATGAGAATTACCTCGAATTTTTTTAGTAAATGGATAGATAAATCAATCAGCGCAATTTTTTTAGGATTTTGACGTATTTCAATTGTCTAAACAATTGTTTTTATATCATATATTTTATAAGAGTAGTAATAATTTTATTTGGAAAATTTGCTGTTAAAATAATTTTGCTGCTATTTTTGGGATGAATTTTATGTCTTTGCCAACAGTTTCTGTTTTTTCATTTGTTTTTTGTTGTTGTTCATAAATAAAATTTTCCATCAATAACCTGTTTTTCAATGTAAATAGAGTTCACTGATATATTTCATACTATCAGGAATATTTTTTAAATATTTTTTTATTTGTTGAGGTATTTAATTTCGATTATGCTTATTTGAAGTCTGTTCCATGTTCATTAGTTTTTTTTTTGTTCACTTGATGTCAATTCAAGGTTCTCGATTTAAAATATTTAATATATAGAGTAATTAATTTATAATTTATTCAATATTCATTTACATCATTTTTAGTAGATTTGCTATTTTGTTTTTCAGGCTTCTTTTTTTCTGATCTGCATAAATATAAAGAAACATGGGGAAAGGTTTCCAGAATTTTATGAGCAAGAAGGATTTCCATCCTGGTGCATGGTGGAATATAAGAAAGGTTCGACTCTAGTGTTGTGAACAATTTCTATGATTTTATTCTATAAATTTAGTCAAATAATAAGTTAACTAGCAGTTATGATAATTTTATAGTTTTATACGTTCAGTATTATTTTATTATAGGTTTGGGAAGCAAGACAGAAGGAAGATATGGAAAAGAAGCGGCAAGAAGAATTGCGAGTGATGTATGAGAAAGAACAAGATGCTCTGAATAACAGGTTAAGTTTTGCATCAAGTTGTTCAAGTTTCTTAATGGAATTTTATTTCGTTCACTGGTTTGATCGGATTTTCGCATTTTAGGATGAGATCTATCGGGAACGGGAAGTTTCTCAAGATCATAATCTTGTTATTTTCCATTATTTTTTGTGGGCTGTTCTATTTAGGCAATACTTTATAGATTTCCTATAGTTAATGCCACTTACTTTGTGCAGTTCGGTTTATTCATCCTTGCATTTCCTTTGATGCCATTGTGCATTGGATAATCTCTGCGGTTTCCTGTTTGGTGTAATTAGACTTCTGCTTCTGCGGATCTTGCTATCCTGGCTGCGACAATCATTTTATTCTTGCTTTTTTTTTATTACTGGTATATTTTCCCAGTACCAGCTTATCAGCTCTTTTCTATTTTTATTTCACGTGGGATTGTATTATGATACTTCTTCTGCTTGATTTCCTCCAATTTTTGTTGCTGCTTCGATCATTCTCTCAATAATTCATCTTTACCATTTTATAACTAATATGCTCTTGAATACTCGAATTTCTTTCAAAATAGTGGTTTATACATATATATTTATTTTAAAAAACAAATAAATATTTTTTTTAAATAAATAAAAGTATATATGCATAAATAACAATAAAAGGAAAATCCTGTTTATATTTAAATAAATTAACAATCTTTTGAAAAATTGATTCATAATTTATGAAAATCTTAAGAGCATTATTGGGTGACGAAAAAGCTCGTATGGGTCTATCATTTATGTACGATGCACCTCCAGGAATCAGCAAAAAAGAAGATTCGAAACCTGAACCAAAATTCGAATGGCAACGGAAATACAATGCTCCACGTGAAGAGTTAATTTTACTTTGACATTTTACTATCTTTTATTTTTGATACATTTAAAAATTAACATTTAACAGTTTATTTTTATTTTGATTCATATTTTTTGAGGTTTTCATGGGATAATTAGATATTTTTATATTATTTTTAAATTTCTTTCCAGTTGGGCAAAAAATGATGAAACAATTACTGATCAGCCATTTGGTATACAAGTGCGAAATGTTCGCTGTGTTAAATGTCATAAATGGGGACATCTTAACACTGATCGCGAATGCCCTTTGTATAATATGAGTGGGAATTTCGAGGATGCGGGATGTTGGTTTTTTAATTATAATTTATTTCGTTAAATACAACAATTTTAAAAATTTGAATTTATGTCGAAGTGTGTAAAATTAAAATTAAAAATTGAATAAAATTAAAAATAATTTCGAAAAAATAAAATTGATAATCTATGAAATTAAATTTATTATCTCACTTGTCTTAAAAATTTTAGCGAATTTTGTCGCTACTTGCTATTTATTACATATTAGATGCCAATAATCCATCCGATCTGATAAAACAATTGCGGAAAGATCGAGAAAGAGGAAAAGTGATCAAAGAAATGCAAGAGTCTAAAAATGTGATTATAAAGCAAAGTAATAAAGATGATGAGGAAGATTGGGTGGAATTATCTCGAAAGCAATTGGCTGCTAACATGAAAGAAGAGCATGGTTTGGCTTTGAAAGATAGCATCCTTCGAAATATGCGAGCTGAGGAAAGAATTGTGGTACTTTCTTGATATTTTATTCAAAACTTAAATATAATTTGCAATTTTATTTTTATAATATTATTTTTTATTAATATTTTTAATTTTTTTGAATTTCTTTTTTACTTTTTTTCTGAGATAATATACAAAATAAAATTTTAGTAAGAAAAAAAATTATTCATTTACTAAATTGCAAAATTATTCATTTAAAAATCATTCTTTGATGCATTTAATTGCTGCCTAAATGTCCGTAAGTTTTTTTCTTTTTTCAGAATATGGGATCTCGAAAATGGGAACAAGAAAAAATCGCTGCTTTTTTAAAAAATATGACGGAGAAGGAAAAAAATAAATTCTTAAAGTGAGTTTTCAATATTTTTTGTTTCATTTCATTTACTTTTTTTGCGAATTTTTCATTATAAGATCCAAATAAAATTTTTTTCATCAATTTTCTTTCGAAAGCATAAATAATATTTTAAATTTTAAATCAAAAGGCGAGATTTTCAGGAAATTTTCTGGAATCATAGGAGAGAAAAAAAGCAAGAAAAAAAGAAAAAACAAGAAATCTGAAAGTGGTTTTTAAAACTTTTAAACTCATAAAAAGGTTTCTTTACCACCCCTTGTGGATTATTCTCAACTTCATGACCTCTCCAGATGTCTGAAACTCGAAAATTCAACATAGTATCTTAATTTTTTAGTTTTTAGTAGTGTGCTCCTCTGGACAGAAAGTTCTGATGTTGTTCCTAGAATCTGTTGAAACCACTTTTCCAGTTTAGGCCCCTAATGCTTTTGTCTTCAATGGAGCTTTCATCTTCCACATCTTCTCTAATTCCTATTTCATCTCCTGGTATTTTTCTAGCTTATCATATTCTTTCTTTCTATTGGTTCTTGTTGGTAATGCTATATCTGTCATCAGTACTGATTTCTTGTATCCTACCACGATATCTGGTTCATTATTCAATACTTGTTTGTCTGGATGGAGCAGATTCACAGGATCTAGGGTTTAGTATTCTCCACGATTTTCTGGGGGATTTCCCATATATAAATATATATGTACAACCATAATAATCTTAGCATTTTTTAATGAAGTTTTATCGCAGGCAGTTCTTCAAAGAAACGTACTGAAATGAAAAGCAAAAAGAGAGATAGATCAATCCACGACGGCAGTTCAAATGGAAGTGATGACGAGTGGATCGAGCGTGATCCACAGCAGTCATGCTCTTATCAGATTGACCTTGGAAGCGGAAACTCTCATACGAATTTAGATATGAAGACTCACCATCGACATAGAACGAAGAATTCTGATTTGCATCATCTTCAACATCATAAATGTCATTTATCCTCACGTTACGATCGAGCAACGTAAAAACATTTTTTTTTAAAAGATATTTCGTTCATTTACAAAATACGATTATAATTTTTAAACGGTGCTTTATAAAATATTTAAATTTAAAATCCAAAGGTCAAATTATAGGTCATCCCGGAAAAGGAGTAAATCACCGCGGAAACATCGATGAAGAGATGCTATTTAACCAACGCTAACTTTTTCATTATTTGATCCAATAAATCTATTTATTTACTTATTTTGTTCTTTTTATCATTTAAATGTTCATTTTGTGTATGTAATTTTGTGTTTTCTGGATAACTTATCAATAGGAATGGCGAAATAGTTAAGCTGTGTGCTATTCGTAGCTTAAAGAGCTGCTTTGGTGGGAGAAAATCTGCCATAAAAGAACTCGGGAGGACACATCTTTGTGGTTTTTTAAATAAAAAAATTACGCTGCAACGTCATATTGTTTGCTAGTGTTAGCAGTATTGGATTGTTTAAAATAATGATAGTAATCGATAATAATCGTAGCCAAAAATTGATTCGATTCGAACAGTTTTCAAATATATTCTTAACTCTCTAGCCAATTTTGGCTATAATATTTTAATTTCATCTGGTATAAGACTTAAAAATGCGAGTAACTTGTAACTTTGAGAGTTCGAATCTGATTTGTACGCTTAAATAATTTCTAAGGCTTGAAACAGAATTCAGCACCCAAATTTCATATGAAAAAAATTTTTTCCCAACTAAAATTTGGAAAATTTAATGGTTTATTCGAATTTTCTGTTGATGTTAAAGTTTTAATTTTATTTTTCCATTCTTGTTTTAATCAATCCAATATGGTAATAAGCGACTTAAATGTCCAAGAGTAAGCTGGATTATGTAAAAGCGCTTGAACAGCGTTTAAACTCGCATGGAAATATTAATTAAAAGAGACGAAGAACCTGCTTAATCATAGTTCCACAAAGTACCGTAGCGAATGAATGAAATCGGTGTATTACCAGTAAAATGTCATTGTGCGAATCAGTAACTATCATATTAGTGGAGTGAACAGTGTTTAAGTAGAATGACAAATTTTAATACCTTGTTTTCCTTGGATGTAATATGGCTACTGCATCATTAAGAAATATTTGTATGGAAGAAAAACCTCTAAGAAAGTTAAGAATTTCTATAATTTTTGAAAAAACATTTGGTAACACAAGATACCACACTTGGTGGAGTTTCTATTAGTTATAGGAAAACACTTTTAAAGAGCGTTTCATAAAATGTTTTTAAGAATGCTTCGTTCGTTGTTGATCAGAAAATTCTACGAAAACGGATAATGGATAACAAAGACATGGAAATCTCTGGCATAAGGTTGAAAAACGAATGGATTTTGTACGAATAATATTAGGACCACTGCGTGAAAATACTTCAAGAACAATGATAAATTCAATAATGGACAGGTTGAAACGAGAGGCATGAAATATGAATGTGCTGTTCTAGGCCAACATAAGGAGGAAATTCCTGAAAACTGCTCGAGCTTAAGGTTATATATACGTATATCTTTAGGTCCAGACGAAATATGGCAAAAAAGAAAATATGCATGCATTGCGAGGTCCCATATTACGACGCATCCAGTGGTTATTGTTCCCACTTCCAGCAATACCGACAAGGCCACTGCTTATCACCAAAGCGCCAAAATGTGTCATATCTACCACCCAGCTGGCAGTATGTGTATTATCGTTAAGAGGAATAAGAAAGAAATCTCTTCGCATCTATTATTAGTGCTCGAATCTAGGCAATGGACCGCCAAAGCCCACCATAACCACTCATAGCCCACCAAACACTCAATCCCCCTTACCTTTCCCCTTCCCCCTCCCCATCCCTCCCGACAAGCAACACGAATGAACCCATATTATATTGTTAAATCAGCAATTATTAATCATCGGCATCGGTTGACAAAGGTTTGTTAGGCTGTGAAATAGTACAGCCGAATGGGAGGGAATATTACAAATCGATAATTCGCATGGAACAATTTTTTTTGTTGTCTCGACTTTTGTGATTGTTCGCTCGTTTATTATAAATTTTCTTCTCTTTGAGTGGAATTTCTTTTTTCGAATATTTAATTAAATGAGGGAAATTTATTTTCATAGTTTTATTTCCATAGAAAATTCGTTTATTAAAAACGTTTTGTGTAGAAAAAATTTGAAATTAATTTTTTATATAAATTAAAATAAATTACAAACAATTTTTCATTCTTTCACTTATTTTATGTCGAATTTTTGCCGAGTTTTTGCCCAATGTTCCTGGCTGCGCTCGCTTAGCGGCCACTCAGACTTCGCCTCTCGACGGTCGGTCACCGCGCCCCTAGGCCCTTCTGCCGAGAGCAGAGCGCCAGCCCTGGCACTCCGAGATAGGCGCAGCCACCCACTGAGCCACTTTTCTTCCTAAGAGGTATTTTTAAAGGAATTGGATTGTATTTACTTGGACTGTTTAAGGCATAAGTGTACTATTGTCGATGGTCGCTTCAGTTCCAAATTTATCAGTTGCTGATTTTTAGCGATTTGCAGCAGTGAATTTTAAAAAATTTCTAGAAAAATGGAAAAATTGAAACGGAAATTTTGGTTTGTCATTCTCTCTGATTTGTTTCTATCTTTATCTTTTTGATTTTTAATTGGAAGATTGAATATCTTTTTGATTTTTAATTGGAAGATTGAAGGATGTTGAAGCAACAATATATAATAAGATTACAACATTTCCTAACAATAAATATTTAATAAAAGCCATAATGTTGATTACATATTAATGTATTATCATCGTGAATGTTATTGTTATCAGAAATATTTTTAATCAAATTTGTTTTAAATTTTTCTGAGGCAATTTTCATTGTTCATTAAGAAACCCTTTTTTCAACTTTTTTTATTATTATTATTTCCATCTTTTTTTATTATTTTTTATTATTTATTTTTATGTATTTTTATGTATTTTATTATTTATTTTTATAAATAATTCGTCCTTTTCTCACAATTTTTTGGTTAATTCAAATGAATAGAAAATAAAATAATAATTATTAAAGGAATAAGGATATTTAAGTGATATTGACATCAAAGATTAGTAATAGTACATGTTTATAAAATTTTTCATTCCATTTCAGTATGTCTTAAATTTTTAATTTGATATGAACATGGTTGCCTCGAGTGTTTTTTATGATTTATTCGTTTTATTATTAATTTTTATCGTGGAAAATGGCGCGCATCAGGTGAAAACTATAGATTTTTCTTTCATTTTGTTTTCCTGTTTCGAAATTGATAATAAAATTTTTTTTGAAATCAAGTGGAACTTTAGGAAATTTTTGATTATTTGAAAATTCTGAACTATTTATAGTCATTATTTTTGGTTTCACTCGATTTGTTGTAAAATGGACATTCAGTTCATTCAAAAAATTCCTTTTGCAGAATTCGATTGTCAATGAAAAATGCGTTCCGATTACTATGCAAATGTGCAAAGATATACCTTATAACATGACGCTATATCCTAATATTTTGGGACATACGAAGGAAGAGGATGCATCGCTTGAGATCCATCAATTTTTACCACTAGTCAAGGTAAACTGACTCATTAATTTATTGATTTGGGTATTTATTCACAGATTTTGAATTTGGAGTTGATGCTTAAAAATATTAATGTTCTTCACATTCATTTATTAAATGTAGTGAAGAAAATCTGAAAATAAATTAATTAACATTTTTCCATTGTTAAACATATTTTCAGCATTTTTTGTTGGAAATATTTTTACAGGTAAAATGTAGTGAAGACTTAAAATTTTTCTTGTGCACTATTTATGCACCAGTGTGTACAGTGCTGGGTCGTCCGATACCTCCTTGTCGTCATTTATGTTTATCTGCAAAAATGGGTTGTGAAAATCTAATGAACAAATTTGGATTTAAATGGCCGCCGCTTCTCTCTTGTGATCGTTTCCCATCAGATGGAATGTGTGTCGGTGAAAATAGAACAGATAGCAGTACAGAGGCACCTCATTTACATTCACATGAGCGATTATTCCAGATTGAATGTCCTCACTCGATGCAGGCAAATACATAATTTTTCTTTTTGGCATATTTTTTGTTTTGCTAAAAATATTTTGATTTCGCATTGTTAAAGTTCATTTCTGCTCAAACCATATTTTTGGTTTTTTGTTGGTTGGCTATAAATAAACAGTAATGAAATTTCAGGTATTAAGCAAATCGAAATATACACTTAAAGTTTGGAACACAACTTTAGAGCAATGTTCACTATCGTGTTCAGCTGATAATCTTGTGCCAATGTTTTTTGATTCTCGCATTCGACGATATCTTCGTTTTTGGACAGGTATATCACTGTTTTTGCATTAAATTTGAATAAATTTTATCTGGATAAATTAAATAAATTTGAATAAATTTTTTATTTCTAATTTCTAGTAATTTATTTTATTTCTGGTAATAAATTTTCTTCTCATTCAAGGTATTCGCCCATAAACTTTAAGGTACCTTTAGCAAAAAATATTGGATGGAAGAGTTCAAAAAAGATTACCAAATACCAAATACCGCTTTGCAGGTGCTTGGGCGGTAGCATGTGCTGCCAGTTCTTTATTTACCATACTAACATTTTCAATCGATATGCGCCGTTTTCCTTACCCAGTTCTTCCGATATTTTACCTCTCTATTTGCTATTTATTTGTATCCTTTGTTTATATGGTTGGTCTTGTTGCTGAGGATAAGATTTCATGTTCAGCGATTTCGGCAAGTAATACACCATTAGTGTCACAGGGTATCGATAGTTTTCCATGCACTATTATTGCAATAATTCATTATTATTTCAGGTATTTTTTCTTTTTCATCAGGGAGCTTTTGAAATATAATTACCGGAAATTATTTTCTTGTAAATATTTTTATCATTAATTAATTAAATTATTAAATAATTAAAAATATTATTAGATTTACCATTTTTTGAGAAGAAAATAATTTTTTAACTATAGAGAAAGGGGAAAATAAAACTTTCATTTTTTATCATACTTTCCTGTATGAATTCAACCATTAATCGACATTTATTTTTACATGTGCTTTTGTTATTCATTCATCATATCAGTAGTTCGATAGATTATTCATCATATCAGTAGTTCGATAGATCTTCTTGCGTCTTTAAAAATTCCTCTGGGATTACACTTGTATGCATATAACAAATTTATTTTTCGCATATATGAACATTAATCACTGTCGATTCCTAAAAAACACCAATATTCTCTGGCTTATTTTTTGAATTTAATTGCAGTATCCAATGCTATATCTTTGTTTTATTCCTTAATTTCTTCTTTACACTTGCCATTTTTGATTATATTTTATCGCTTTATTTTTTTTACTTTTGCTAAATTATCTTTTATCCCTGTTAATGTTGGTAGTTTAAATGGTTTCGTAGCAGCCATTTAAACTTCGACAGTTTGCCACTTTAAAAGAGTTATAGGATTCTATAGGTCAAAATACAAGTATTTAGTATTTAGTTTTTGTTATCTTCATCTGAAAGGTATATTAATAGTAAAAGTTGCTTTCAGTATAGCAAGTAGTATATGGTGGGTAATATTGTGTTTGGCGTGGTTTCTCGCTGCAAATCTCAAATGGGCACAAGAGTCAATCGAAGGTCTCTCGTCATATTTTCATGTTCTTGCTTGGGGTATTCCAGCACTTTTATCAATTGTTGTTCTAATCACAAATAATGTTGATGGTGATTTATTTACTGGAATTTGCTCAGTTGGTAACCTTCGGCCATCCGCATTATTTAATTTAATATTTATTCCCATGTTCGCTTGCATTGGTTAGTTGATTTCTTTGTATTTTTTAAATTTGTTTAACCATAAAACATGTTACCATATCCAGTATCCAATGAAATGGTCAAAATTATTTGAAATCTTATTGACATCCTAATTAGTTGAATTCTTCCGGGATGTATGGAATGAGTCCATATATTGAAAGTATTCAAATTTCTTTTTAGCTCTCGGTTTATTGCTCTTGGGTTGCGGCATTATCTCAATGCTTCGCATTCGACGCTATATTAAATTCAAACACAGTGATATCGATCAGAATATTCGTAAACTCGAGAAATTAATGTTACGTATCTCAGCGTTTGCATTTATGTATACATTACCAACTGTTGTTAATACAGCTTGTATTGCATATGAAGCATTTATGATGGAAAGTTGGTTAACAAATTGGTTGGCTATTCGTTGTGCAAGACCAGATCGTGCTGCTTTTGGTTTCTCTCAACCGCGGAATACATGCATTTCACAAGAGAATATTAGACCACCAGATTTGTTGATTTATTTCTTCAAATATCTTATGCAGCTTGTCGTAGGTATTACATGTGCTGTTTGGGTATGCAGTAGTAAAACATTGAATAGCTATTCACAAGCATATGCTCGTTTGGTACATGGTCGTTCTCAGGTACCAACGCGTGTTCACGAATGATTTGGAAATATATCACCTCTATTGTTTTTTTCCCACATTTTGTCCTCACCAAGTATTTGCCATTTGATAACGAGTTATTTTTCCATGACTTATATTATTTTATTTTTATTTTTTTATAAAAAATTAATTTATGTTCGAAATTTAATTTAAAAGCTTAATTTAAATTTTCAGATTTTCAGTTGATTCATAATGTAATGTCCGATTTTAAACATTTTCCTTTTTAATCGTTTAAATTATTTTTTTTAAACGTATTGCTTGCAGGCATGGCAGGGTTTATGTGTTTTAAGATTTCTTTTTTCTATTATAATTTGTCATGCTATTTTTTTTATTTTTTTTGCATTTATTTCATTAATCATGCTTAAATAAGATTTCTAAAACTAATTCTATTGTTTAAAAAAGTTAAAAATGTCATGTCAAAGCGGAAAATTTTTAATAGAAATCTTCATTATTGCTGCTGTGGTATTTTTTGTTGCAATAATTAGATTTACTAAAAATGAAAAATTGAGATTTTATGTATTTTTGCTATTGGTGCTTCTTTGTTATGAAAATTCATTGCTTAATCACTTTTTTTATTTTTTCATCGTTTTAATTTAATTTATATATAGTAGTTACAGATTTATCATCTTCAAATTCAAATTTTATTCAAATTTTATTTGATGAAATTCATTTCATTAGTCTCTTCTTCTATTTTTACTTTTATGCGCATCTTTGAAGGGTGCTAATTGATTATAATTGCTCTCTTGCTCGATTCAAGGTATGTTTTGCTAATAAATATGCAGGGTTCGTGTCGCTCTAAATTTTCTTTCATTTTTTTTATTTTTTACTTTTGCTTAAATCTTTCTTCAGGAAACCATTCTTAATCGCTAAAGTTTTTTTTGTTTAATATGTCGGTTTTAAATATTTTAAATATTTTCGAAGCGTATGCCTTTCAAGGAATTTTTCTCGGAATTAAATCTAGATTTGTCTTTTTCAAAGGTTTTTTTCAAATATTCTTTTCGATATGCTTTGAAAATAAAAATTTTATCATATTATTTACATTATGGATTTGTATAAACAATAATTGCATTTTTGATTCATGAATTCATGGAATTTTACATCTATTACATATGAATTTTTCGTCGGGAAAATTTTATATTTTTTGATTTTTATTGATTTTCGAAAAAAAATTCGTTTTGCAAAGCATTTGATTATTTTTCAAGAAATCTTATAAATTTAATATAAATATAAGGAAAGTTTTTGGAAAAAAATTTAAATTTCTATTTAAATTTTGAAAGAAGAACTTTTTGAATAAATGTTGAAAAATTATATAAAATCCAGTTTATTGACGAAGACTTCGAATGAAATCTGAATAAATCGCGGTGTCACATCAGAGGAAGTGACAATTTTTGCTCCTTTTTTTGAAGGGCTGATGCGCACTTAGGAACATCCAAAATAAAGCTAATAAAAATAGAACGAAATCTGACAAATATCAAAATTTTTATTATTGTAAATGACTTCATAAATTATCAAATTATCAAAGGAAAAAAGCATTAAAATTAGAACATTAACAAGCAAGCAAATAATTTCAAACCTCGAGAAATGAGATTTTGAATGCCAAAGTAAGTGAGAATTGGTGAATGAGAAACTCATTTTCCAAGCACCAGGCTAATGTTTATGAAGACTACTGCCTATTTGTGATTTCCCATACAAATGATCAAATAATATTTCTCGCCCTTTGTGGCTGATCGCGATCATCCTCGGGTCCTATGCGAGAGGTCTGAGGGATTCTGCATAGTATCTTGAGTGTTCTTTTTCTTCATCTGGATGGATCTTTGATGTTGTTTTCTGGAATCTCTTGAATATATTTTCTAGTTTAGGGATTGGAGTTCCAAGTGCTCCGATTATCTCTGGAATTGCTTTGGCCTTTACTTTCCACATCTCTAGTTCCTCTTTCAGCCCTTGGTATATCCCTTCTTTCTGATATTCCAGAGCAGATGTTCCTGTAGATGCTACTTGGTTGTGCCTTTCAGTATATGTTGTTCCTGCTTGCATTTTACATCCTGCCTATATGTGTTGGATTGCTTCTGGGGTGTCTATATCTGGAGTCTAGTGTGGTGTCCTTGTTTTGATGGATCTAATGATGATACTTACAATGTGAAAGTATTGTTTTTAGTTCGGCTTTCTCCAACCACTGGTAGAATTTCACAATTTCCCCAGCTACCCCAGCTTTCTGTCGAGACGCAATCCAGCCTTGCTTTTCCATGGTATTTCTTTGATTGTTTCCCACTGTCATGTTTCACAGTTCATCCTTTACTGCCATCTTGATATAGTTCCGAATGGTTCTGAATGCAAGTTAGTGGCTTTTAAACTCATCCCTCCTTCTTTCCTGCTGGTATAGAACTTTTGGGTATTGGACTTGGGGTGGAAATTTCCGTGCATTGTGAGGAGCTTCTTGGTCTTTATATTAGCAGCCTCCATTTCTTCCTTTGTCCATTTTAAAATGCCAGCTGCATACCTGATGGCTGGCATGGATTTTTTTCTTCCGCTGGCTCTTTAAGATCTGCCTTATCCTTTGGTGATATTTAGATATTATAGCCTTCCTTGCCTTCTCATCGTCCTAACTGTGGGATATCAAGGTACTTATAGGTACTTATAGCTAGCCTATATGTCCTGATATTGATCCGCCCCATTGCTATTTTCTCTTTCTTTACTATCATTCGGCCACATTTCTCTAATCGAATGACATCTCAGTGCCTCATGTGTAGATCTCAATTAGATGGATTGGTAAGTCGATATCTTTTTTGCGTATAATTTGATGTCATCCATGTATGGAAGATTACTGATGATGGTAATCCGCTCTTGAATCCATATCCACTTCTGCTGATTATGTGACTGAAGGAAGTTTATATACAGATCAATAGGGGAGACAATGTATCGCCTTGGTATATACCGCACTTGATGGCTAATTGTGCAAGCTGTTTCGAGTTGATTTTAAGTGCCACTTTTTCAGTGAACGTCTTTAGAGTTCTGTTGATTTTGTAAACTTCTTTTTGTAAACTTCTTTGGCGGTGGGTTGGATCATATACGGGCTGTCTAACTTTTCATATTTTTGAGTCGCTGTTGGATGCAAGCAAATGTGATAATAGGTGATTCCTGCTGTAGGAGAGTACTGTGACTTGTTCTCAGATCTCACAGCCATTTTGCACTGGTATTATGAATTTTTTGTTCTCCCCATATATTCTTCCAGTATCTGCCTCAGTCTCTTCTTATCTACTGTTTTGCTCGCGGTTACCATATTATTTCATTGAAGTAGACGGTTCGTTTGAGAACAGGGCACTTATCTTTTTAGCCTCTTTTTATCTAATGTACCTCCTTAGCTTAGTGGCCCGTTCTGTGGGCCTTTATTTATCTTGATGGCTTCTGATGAGGTGTGGGCTCTTGTATCTTGTATTACACCATCAGGACACCTACACACCTTCACACCTTTCTATAATTCTGTCAGCTAACTAACTTTCGTTTGCTCTGATCTTATTTTCCAGCCTCCTTTTCATGGGCGAATTGCATTCTTTTTGATTTTATACACCAGCATTACGAAAATTACAATGGCTGTGGCGTACACCAATTCATTAGTTTCAGCTATAGTGGGGAGAAGGGATTGTTGCGAGGGCTTTATTTGCATTTTCGAATTTATTATCTGGTGATGCTTCACTAAGTCTCGGTCTTAATTATAGTAGTTTATTCATGATTTTTTGCCTCATGTCAACGGCTCTGCTTTGTAACGTATTGGAAGGCAATTTCCAGCTTCCTAGCCTGCAGCGTGCACATCTTCTTGCTGAACGTTCTAAATCTGATCCATTTCCAACTAAGAGAGCAGTTGTGTTGTTTTTCTCATTCTTATGTTGAAGCATTGAGTCACTAACTGTCCTCAGTTAATGTAAATAGTAGTTTATTCATGATTTTTTGCCTCATGTCAACGGCTCAGCTTTGTAACATATTGGAAGGCAATCTTTTTTCCACAGTGCCTTCATACGTTTCATATAACCTGTTTGTTTGCTTTGTTCCAATAGTCCTTTTAACGCCAGGCTGCCCCAGTCCCATAACTGGCGCTGTTCCAGTAACCCATTTATCCATCAGACAATTCTGGCCCCTCAAACTTTGATGCGGACCTTGATTCGGGCGACATCCGAACCTGCATGACTCTGTTATGCGATACCCTCATATTGAGGTAAGACATTAAGGAAGTCTTGCCCAAGGATTTCGCTGGAAAGATAGAAGCTTTTGGTTGCGATTCGAACCAAAGTATTGTTGTTTTTCATTTCTATGCTGATTGCCCTCCCTTAACTACTACAATAAACCCATATCTTATAAACGCCAAGAAATATGCTTTCCATAGTTGTTTGGATGATTTGTAGATTTCCTCTTCTTCCTCGTTAAAGCTCAATTTTCGATATTTTGATTTTACTGAAATCATTAAGTTGAAGAGATTAGCTCATATCGTAATGTTCAATTTATTTTTTATTAATTTTTAATTCAAGGCCAAATATTATTTTACATTTAATATCATGATTTGATGTAATTGAAACATTAGCAAATATGACTACAAACAGGAGTAAACCTATCCGAAAACCCCGATGATGCCGGTGATTCACTTGTACTTCTATCGCCAAAGGACTACCTGGCATATTTATCTAGTGCGGCAAGCCAGTGGAGCGAATCTAACCACTAATGGCTCTTAAAAAAAAAGAACAGTCATCCATAATTATTAGCAGTAGATTATTCTCCTTCCATTATTGGAATTGTCCTAGCATTTAGCATTTTGCACTATTGTATAAGAAATTTTGCAAAATATTTGGTAAAAATATAAATATATTTCATTACGGATAAGGAAGGGATAGTTTCCTCTAAGAAAAATTAAAATATTTAGGAAGGTGAAATTCTTATAAACGATTGTAGGATGTCTTCGAATGAATATTAATGTATATTTTAAAATCATCAAAAAATTATTTTCATAATTATGGCGAAAGTATTTTGGATAATGTTGCCGTGGATATTCGGAGAAAATGGTTATCAAGTTGTTATAGATGGAGCCAGGTTAGGAATGATCTTATTCGCACAACTAATATTCAATTGCTCTCAATATTCTTCAATTCGCCTTGAGTACTGAATCACTCAAAAAATTCATGTGATGGCCCTAACTATCTTTACTTCTACTTTTAAATTTTTCTAGGTGTCGTAGATTTCTTACCATACTAACAGCCAACAGAGCTAGCAAAACCAGATGTAATGAATACCAATCACTCACTTTAATTAGCGTATGGTTAGCGTATTGCTTGAAAAATATTCACTACTTCTTGATAACTGATAATACTGAAAAATAAGATAAAAATAAGAAAAAAATAATACTGTATATAGAAGATACATAAGAAATATTTTTGAGAAAAACATCGAAATAATAACATTTTTTAATAAAATCACGAAGAAATGCTTCAAAATATTGGAGATTTCTTTTCAAATATTTCGAATAATTTCGACGCTTTTAAAAGTTCTTCCAAAATCTTCAAAATTTACGGCAGTTATAAGTGTTATTCCGGCTGATGAAATCTTTATGGAATCGCGAAATTATCATAGAAACGAAAGACCCTGTCTATATAACCACAATACGTTCTATCTTGTTATATGGCTGCGACACACGTCAATGAGAATGGAGGAAATTAAATTATTTTGATGTCTAAGGTACATGTCTAAGGTACGGGTTGATTTTCCGAGTGGATAAAATCTCATCGCATCCATCTTCGTTCAAATACCATTTTTATTACAATAATACTATCACAGTACTATCTTTCACTGGTTAGGGTATGTTCGCCTACACATATTTCATATTTCGTTACTAAACCCTGTGATGGATGGCGTCAAAAACGAAGTGGACTAACTAAAACCTGGACTGACACGGTCAGGAAAGAATGTATAGATCGACCAGCAATATATGGACTTAGACGATGGAAAAAGGAATGGCTTCTATTATTGTCGACGATAGCATCAGATCGCGCAGCTTGGAAACATCTTACATTTTACCATTGTAGCCAGTGGAGCCAGTCTAATCTAACCGGTAATGGTGAAAGCTATTAGAAGAAGAAGACTGAATAAGAACATTAGCACTGCGAACATTTTCTAGCGGAACTGCCGATGGCATCTGCCAAATGGGCATTTAGGGGCTTTCAGCTCGAATTTTAGGAATCGTCGAGAGCATATATATATTGTTCCTCTAGTTGCATTCAGACGATAGAGATTAACCGAGAAAGGTGTAAGTTAGTTCGAGTATTTTTCGACAAATCGCTATTCTCCCCTTATTTACTATTATAAAAAAAGATTGGCCATACTCAAATAATATCGTACTTATCCTATTCACAATATTCGGATGAATAATTATTCTTGCAGAAATAGTTCCATTAATTTTTCTTTTTCATAATTTTCCTTTCATAGTTTTTCCTTATAATTGCCTTGAAATTTCTTAACAATATAACAATATAAACGATATTCTAAAAAGCGTGCAACTGCTTATTTCTACGAAGAAAATTTGTTGTTTAATCATAAAATTTTCTTCCTTTAATCTAATATTTCTCTTATAAATTTTAAATTTGTATTAAAAGAAATTCTCAGTTGCTTAGTTTATTGTTTACGCTAACAATTATTATTATTTTAATTTTTATAAACTTTATTCAATATTTTATTTGGCATTTTATATTAATTTATCGTATGCAAAATATTTTTTAATAAAATTTTTATGAAAATTGGATATGAAATTGTCCACTAATTTTGGTTAGCTCCCAAGTTCATTAATTTCCTTAGCGCAATGTGGAACCTTTGCTAGAGGAATCGATCTAAGGCAACTCGTCAATCCCACTCGAGATTTTCTCTTCGATAGGTTTATTAGACTTGAAGGGTTGGAACTATTATGCTAATTTTGAAGAAAAAGGGAATTTTTTTTGAAGGGAATTTGCAATGATTAATATATGTTCTATAATCTGTTAACAAAAAGCGATTCGATCCAAAAAAACGAAAACAGTTGAAAAATTTGTATCGTACTGGTGCTGTAAAATTATTTCTAAATCGTACTGGAGCTAAAATTATTCTGCTTCCTCTTGCCAATTGAATTGAATTATAAAGAATCACATAATCAGATTTATTGAATATTAATAATATTGATAACAGTATTGATAACAATATTTCTCAATTCTTTGCTACGGACGACGATTAAAAGGGGTCTATTCAGGGTTTGGCGTTGCTCTTGATGATATTTTTGCAGATAATATTTAATACTAATGTGCCTTAGATATTAAAGGTCGAATCTTATATAGGGCTTCTCAACATCTTCCTTCTCATCTCATGTTTTGCACTTATGTAAATGGATCGACTGCAGTGCATGCAGATAGATGCGAATTTTCGTTGTTTTGATGACGATTTCATAACGATTCCACAAAAGTTTCAGCAGCTGAAAGAATACTTTTTTAGTTGTGATTAGAATGCAAAGGCTTTGATCTCAATTTGGCCCGCAGTTTATATGTGTGAATATGGGCACAATTTCCTTATAATAATGAGCCTAAGCTTTATGCCTAATTTCTAGTTTTTCTCCTTCACTACTGCAGTAAGATTGTAGAATAAGAAGACTTCGTGAGAGAAACATAAGGTAGACGATGGATTAGCATCATCCGACTTATCTCGACTTGATAATTGTTATGTTTAGAACCTTTTTCATTGACTTCATCCATAATCTGCTGATAAGCAAATTTAACGATTCCAACAGATGACAAAAACATTTTGGTGGAATTTTAGATCCTTTTTTATTCAAATTGGTGATTAAACGTTAAACGCTATAATAAAACGAAATTTTATAAAATTCCGGAAATTTTCTGACATTTCCATTATTTTCATATTGGTAATCATAATAAATTTTTGGCAAATAAAGATTGGCCAAATAAGAATTCGTGCATACGTGTTTAGACTCAGTGAAAAATTCATATGTCAATAAGAAAAATGCTCTGGATTGGAACCTATTTTATACGATTTTGGGTGATTTTTTTTCTTTAGAACCTTACGAAAAATAAATGAATTTGCAGGATTTTAATCGAAAAGAATTCACAGTATTACGGCTGCGAACTAAAATTACTGAAAAAAGGCTTTACAGAAATTAAATTTAAATACATAGCAGAGAGAATATGAAAATAAGAAACATTAAAATCAACTTGATACAATATAATAAACATGAAAAAATATTGTAGGATCAGGCGACATCATAGTAATTTCACTTAATTTACTGGCTTGAAGCTTTATAAATTGCTGGGGGGACGATTAGGAGGAACGACTAGTTTCTTCCAATAAACTCCAACAATTTATTTAAACAAATGCGTTTACGCAGATTCAGCCCATCACTCTTAATGGCAATGCGATATTTAGTTGGCCGATGGAATTTATTTATTTAGTGATAAGTCGCAGTACTTAATACAATCCATATCAACAAAGGCAAATAATTATATTGAAGTCAGAAGCTATTTAATCCATCTATATTTTTTTAACTTCAGTGATATACGATTCATCGCTTATTGAAAATGCAGTAACCATTAAGAAATTTCGTAGAAGAATCCGCTGATGAACACAAGCAAACTGAAAGCTATTATTTTCGAAATTTCAGTTCAAAATGCTTCGATGAAGTGATAAAAATTTTTCGAGCTTCAAAGTGGGACAAATTGTAAAAACCTCAGATTCAATGGAAACTTATATATGCCACTGCGCGATTCACTGCGAAAGCAAAAAGAACGCGACACGATGCAGTCACAAGACAATTGGTACCAAAACAGGCAATGTAACCACATCAGTTTAAAAGCATATTAAGATTTCTGTTACTGAGCTATTATCGTTCATAAAAGATTCTATAACTTGTAATCTTTGGTTGGAAAAACCAACAATATCATTTCGAATATCATTTTGCTCGCTCACTTTTTGTTGTAATTATTCGACGATTTTATATCCGACTGTTACTTTTTTTTCTGGACAAGTTATTCTGTTATCCACTAATTTGCGATTTATGAGTGATATCGCTTTTTATCAGACTTTTGTTCCGTTTATACAAGCATATTATCACTAATATGTATAGTTGGCCGTTGGAATTTATTATTTATTGCGAAGAGTGAACTTGATCGAAAGTAATTTCGCATGAATTGAATTACATTATTATTTTCTTTTCCCAAATGATTAAATTAAATATGCCTAAGGACAAATTGGAAAAGGACCCTTAAAAAATTCCTAACAAGATGAAATTTTAATAGAGTTTTGTGGTCGATATTTTAAATTTAGGAAATTTATTTTATATTTCACATATTTTGAATGAATTTCTCATTCATTCTACTAATTGTTTCATTATTTTTTATCAATGCTAAGGAGAGAAAAATTTCAATTCTTATTCATACACCACCACGACTGAAATATTCTAATGTGAAAGCTGAAATACAGGTATAGTGGATACTTTTTTTCATTTTTATCATCATTTTTAAATATATTTAAATTTATATATAATTATATAAATTTATTAAAATTTATATAATTATATAAATTTTAATATAATATATATAATATAATATTATATAATATACAAAATATAAAATATATATATATAAACATAACATATATATATATATATATATTAAACATATTTCAAATAAAACATTTTAAACTTTTTTTGCTAAAATCTTATTTCGCATCTTAATCCTTTAATTGCCCAGAAACGAAGACATCGTCCCTTTCCCACCGTGTAAGAACTGGAGAGATGAGGAAAACCTAACCTACGAAAACCTAAATGTTACAAATCAAAGAACTACATAGTTGTGCCTACAAATTTTTTTGCCCAAGCAGAAAAGTTCGGGGAAACTATGGTTTATATCAAATAATTTTCGATTTACTTCTAGATATATATATATATTAAATTATCTAATTAGTTATTTCCATCCCTCGTCTCTCCCCCCCCCCCCCCTCGCCTTTCTTTTTTTTCCTATCCTACTTTCGACGTTATTTTCTAAGTTTTTTAACTTTTACTTTTCGTTAAATAGTCAAATTTCTCAATCTTATTCTTTAATATTATTTCACTCTTTTTAAAAATTTTCGTTCTTCTTCCTCACCTCCTTGAAGAACATTTATAAACATTTGAAACATGTGAAATAAAGATTTTTAAATCAGTAAGCACCTGTTTTAATCTCAAAAAAAAGGCTTTTATTTGGAAAAAAATTTAGAAAACAGTAGATGAAACATTGAACGATCTGGAGTTGTCTTATAACAGGCGAATATTACTAAACGTACAATATGTCGATGCGGGTCATTATACTGGGTATGGCTCTTCAGAACTTCCTTGAGATGACTTAAAATTCTTGAATTTCGAGAAAAAGTAAAGAAAAGCTTAAACATTAAAGACTAAAACATTAGAGATCAAAATTATTTTTATAATTAGAAATAATTTACAATTATAAATTATAATTTTTTTGATTTCTTTTGTTTCATGTATTTTCAACCAGGTTTAATCGATGGTTCCACAGCATTTAGGCCATATTTCATGTTTATTTGCATTCTTCTTCATTCTTATCATTTTGGTTGAACTGTTTTTTATAAGCTATAATGAGCTCGACATAAACCAGCAGCAAGTTCTTTTAATATGATAATACGAATAGTTTCTGAATGATATAATGTGATTTACGATTTTATTTTTATTATTAATTATAATATAATCATGCTTCTTTATTTCAAATGGTTAATCAACTGTTACACTTTCGGCCATAAACCCATAAACCCTCTTACTTATCCGCTTAAATCCCCTCATGCTTCGTGCTCTGCAACAGGTGCATTGGCCACAATTTCGATTTCCGTTGTAGATCGATTGTTCAACGCCATTTTTGCAAATTTATTCCACTGGAATTACATAGAGGGTTTAAAATCATCAAGGAATTTTCCATATTTATCCGTATTTTCATAAATCCAGAGAGCCGAATCATTTATATATCACTCGTAATATAGTATGCGGTCAACTTCTTAACCGTTCAGTTGCTGTATTATTACTACATTTCGTTGATAATTTTCAAACATCAATATCGGCCACAGCAGCCTATGCGCTCGGTTTTTACAGAGTACCAACTATTGGGATTGGCATACAAGGAGCTGAATTCTCCAGAGTTCGTTTTTGAAATTATGTTGAGGCTATAGGGAATTTTAGTCGATACACACCACATTCCACTGATTTATTTGTTTCCGCACCTTTTTATAAGGATGGTTGCGTGATATAAGGCAGATTATAAGCGCGAGATTTATTATTTATTTCATCATCTAAAACATTTATTCGTTAGTGACACCTTAGATCTTTTAAAAAAGTTTTCAATGGTCTCAGTTATAGACAACCTTCCCGACATTTCTGAGAACATCACCACCACACAGCAATGAAGCCAAAGTAATTCTGCACCTGCTTCGTGAATTACACTATCGAGAAGTTGTGGTCGTTCATGCGAAGGACGACGTCGATGCAATTGATTTTGTTACTGTTTTCGAAAAAAATCGTTCAAAATTTGAGATACACGTACGGTATTAGCTTTTTGTGCAAATTTTTAGAAAAAATGTTGTATCGAATGATATTACTGCTAGCCGTAAGATACCATGACAAGTGGTTTAGGTGCAAAAGTATATCGAAATCGATCTGTCGATGAACCTCACAAATCAGCAAGTTGAAGAATACTTCGAAGGTGTCACATCAAATATAATCGTCCTTTTCGCAAAGTAAGAATACATTATTCATTTTCTTCTAAATCAATTTTTGCGTAGATGGATAACTATTCAAAAAATTTGTCCGTGTTTAAACCAGAGATTTCCCAACATTAATCGTTTGTCCGTCTATTTCATGTTAGAATTATAATAACTCGGGCTAATGCCTCTAAAAGCACTGAATATTTTGCCCACAACTATGTATATCAATGCGCTTTCAGCAGTATTTTTCGCAGGAACTTATTTCGTTTCCTTTTTTAGAACCGACGATGCTAAAGTTATCATTAACAATGCCCGAATATTAACAACGCCAGGAAAGGTTTGCATAATGAACGAAGCGGCATCGCACAACAAAAATCTGCCAACTGGTTATTGCTTTACCTACCTGTAAAAAATTATTCTTAGGCCAACGCTTTTTTTATAAAATGAAAGATTTCACTTTTAATTACATTCACTACCAGAAACTTTTTAGCCTTCTTGCAGCTGTGATAAAATAGGAATCAGCCTAATTTTCTGAATTTCTGACAGAAATGATTGGATATTGGCGAAATATTTAATTACACTAAGTAAATGCGATGTACTGCAGTGGGCGAAACAGCCGAGTTCCCTCATCACTAATGGCGAAAAAATCTTCCGTACTGTTCCACTTCCAACGAATTTGAAAAAATAGTTTGCATATACCATATCTATTTGAAAAATTCTATTATTTTAGGATATTTGTCGGTAAAATTACGACAAAATACTCTATCCGCATTACGTGACGCACTGGCTGTGATCCATCATGGAATTGAATTCCTAGTTAATTATGATGTCGAACCACCGCAACAATGTGAGACGACGGTGATCAATAATTTATGGATAGCGAAAATTGGAGATGAATTTTACAAGTCAATTTTTTTCCATCAGTTACATCAAAAATTACAGCTGGACGAGGAATTATTACTTTTTTTTCAACAAAATTATAAAATAGTCAATGTCACGAAGGAAAAAAAGGATGTGCGATAAGTTAGGACTGAAAAAAACCGAATTGCTAAAGTTTCGCTAAGCTGTGAATTTTTATTCGAGGATATACAGCCGAATCGACGATGGTGCTGAGGATTCGCTTTCTGCCCCTGGCAGGAGTAGACCTGTCATTGAGAAGCCGAATGGCACTGATCACTGACATGTGCTTCTCTCATCAAATGAATCTTTAGCGAAAATTTTTTAATCGTATTAACAGCTAGTATTCTATTTTATTTTACTAATTTTACAAATTTTTAATTAATAAACTTAATGAGCAATTTTAAATTATTTCAAGAGAAGCAAGAAATATTCACCTAAAAAAATATTTCTGCTCGAGAATACAATATCACCGAGTTAGTTTGAAGGCATCTTCGCTCATCGAAACCGCATGGAAAAAATGGGATTGCTTTTAATGAACAAGGTGAACGCATTAACATCGCTTATGACATAACGAATTCCGTCTATGGGAAATTTCAAACAGTTGGATCTCTCGTGCGACTTGATTTTAATTAATTAACCGTTCTTTTTGATAATTTTGGTTTATTATCCAAATACTTTTAATTTTTGGTTTCTTAATAATCAGCTAGATTCTCAAGAAAAATCAAAATTTACTTTCCTCTAATTTTCCTTAATCAAGAGAAACTTGTCGAGTGATTTGTCGACCCACGACCCAATATTTCCATCACCAAGCGGTTGCCTGGCAAATGACAGAGAGTACCAAATATGCTATCCGCAAAATAATGTAAGAAAGAAATTGAAATAAATTTCGCCTGAATTACCTACAACTTACCTTACTTACACAACGTAATGCAAACAATGAAGGAGTTAATACGTTTAGAATGCACGCGATGAAATATATTTGAATGAAGCAAAAATTATCTGGTCGGGTGGTACTGCGAAACCACTCGAAATAACGCTACCAAAATTTTTGCGCGCCGTTGCTGTAGCAGATCCGCCGTTTGTTTACACGGTTCCTGTGCTTGACGCATCACGTTGTCTTCATCTTGATATTCTCGTAATCGATGGAATCGATGTGGTAATATTTCAAACTCGGAAGCCGACCGAAATGTTCCTCGCTCATTTTGCTAAGCAGACAAACTTACAATTTTCTCAACTCATATTTAGGCTAAATTTTTCTCAGGTTTACTGGCTACTAGAGCAGTGCCATATATGCCAAATGTTTTGGCACCGAATCCTATGCATGCAATCCAGATTCCTCTACTATTTTTAGGAATGATTCCATTGGCAAGTGCCGCATGGAATTTATCTTTACCATGGCAATCCGTGCAAAGTATGATACATTGCTGAACTTTCTTTTAAAGAGATACGTTGTTAATAATGGAGACAGATAGAAAAGCGATATCCATGCCATATTTGGCTAGAGAACAGAACATTACGAGTATAATTCCTATTGATGAGAGATCAAACTTGTGGTAAAAGTAATGTTCAAGTGATGCTGGGAACATATTTATCACTCCGTGGTGAAAGAGCTTTGTTCTAGTAATCAGTGAAACCAACTAACTCAAAAACGGTGCAAAAGAAAAAAATAAAATAAGCTTTTATATAAGTTAGTTAGAGGAAATTAATTCAGTGATAAACGTTGAGAAAAAATTTATAGATTGGACCTTGGTGGTCGTGTATAAAACGGCACAATGAGAGCAAGGTGGACAATTTCTGTTGCGCTGGGTACGCCATCGATTTACTGTCAAATTTATCGCTTGGCGAGGTAATCTTAAGTTAAACAAAATTTCACCTCTTTCATTTTTGTGGTGAAAAAAGAGAGGGACCTTGGGACCGAAGATCTCGCATAATTCATCGCATCAGTTACACTCATAACCTTCGACATCTTTCCTCGCATACATAAATCAATCATCAGCTTTAAAAAAATTGTTGGATAATTTCTTTTTTTCCGATCCATAGAATTAATAGCTTAAATAATTTAAAACTGGATTTGCAGCAGAAGTGAACTTTTAGTCCTCAGGTGACAAGCAACGTACCTCATTTCTCATTTTTCGCGCCCTTTTAAGATTAATGGAAGCATAGATACTGCGTTCAAATTTGAATTGCATTTAAATGAAACTTATGGAATCGTAATTTATGGCGATAATGGCTATGTTCTGAATGGAATTATGGGTGAGTTAGATTCTGATTCAGCTGATATTGCTGTTGGTGCTTTAACAATAAATCCCGAACGTGAACAGTATATCGACTTTTCGGAACCATGGTTGTACCACGGTATTCGGATCCTCGAAAAATGGGTTAGTTTTTTTAATATGGCTAGTGCATTTAGTTGTAAGCACGGGTCAAGCTCTTGATTTCACCTCAACTAAACTAAACTTTACAAAAATAAAAACCAAAATTTCAATAGAAATTTCGCCGTTTACTACTTAAAACCATTTTTCTTCACCAACTTAAGCTAAATTTATAACCAACTTCCTTCGGGATAATTGAAGAAACCCCGCGAATCACCAATGGAATCATTTTTGCAACCCCTCAAATCGAGTCTTTGGATTGCACTCTTCATTTCTGTTATACTTGTCGGCTGTTCTATTTTTCTTCTCGATTTTTATTCGCCTTTTGGTCGTTTTTTACGGATCAAGAAGAATACTACGATTTGTTGGCAAGATAAACTTGATAAAAATGGTGAACAATTGAACTTTGGTGAAGCAATGTGGTTTGTATGGGGAGTTTTGCTCAACAGTGGGGTATGTGAAAGTAAGTTCATTTATTTTTGATTGCCATAAGTCAAATTAATCCTCGACAATTCTTTTTCTTCTTCTAATAGTACTATTTTGGCTGATTAAAAAAATATACTGGTTGATTAAAAAGTTTTAATACAAAATCCTTTCGCCAGAGATTCTTGCCAGCAGAATTACAAGTGAATACAATCCTTAGTACCATCCGGACTACACACTTATCCATGAAGAGACAACGGCTTGATCCAAGTCGAATCTTACCATCTTCTCTTCTATAATTAAGACTAATTTCAAGGAAATTTGGTAAATTTCTCCTTTTATATAAATATATAAAGGAAATTGATCTTAAAAATTTTAATTATACAATTGTATTCATCAACCGCTGACTTATTAGTTTGCTTTGGCCAAAGACAGGAATAAAAGCTTAGTCTTAGTCGAAATACCTCTAATGCCGTAACGTTTACATGGCTAAACTGGGTTTCCAAGCATTGAAAAGAAACAACAATTGAAGGCCAACATTAGTAAAATTTAATATGGAACTAGTTTAGAAACACCACGTAGCTGCAGTGCTCGCATTTTGGGTATCGTTTGGTGCGGATTTTGTATGATTATGGTAGCATCATATACTGCAAATCTTGCAGCGTTTCTAGTCCTCGATCAACCAGAACGCGGATTAACTGGCATCACTGATCCTCGGATATGCTTTTTTCCAATTTTCTCCTTTGATTTACAAATAGGCATTCATGTTGCCAAACAAATTATCTCAAATCCCAAAAGTCTGACTTGAGCAATTTATTGGACATTGGATGGCTATTTTTTCAACTTCATAAACTATAACTTAGACGGAATAAGCCAAATATGAATCTCTGATTATTCCGATTTTTCAAAATACCGTTTTAATTCAGGAACCCCTCAGCGAATTTCACATTCGGAACGGTCCTCAATACAAATACTTATCAATATTTTAAACGCCATGTTGAACTATCGACAATGCATCGAAACATGGAACCACATAATGTTAAAACAGCTGCTGATGCTATAAAAGCGATTTTAAATGAGTAAGAAGAGAGAAAAGGAAAATTTCTTTACGTATTGCAATAAGTTTAATAGGCCAAGAGAAATGCATGAAAAACGAACTTTGGAATAGAATTCAGTGTAAAAATTTTTTTAGAGACTGAAATTAATAGCCATAAAAGCTGAATCTTAAAATTCGCTCGCTTCTCCATGGCCTTTAACATTGCATTTGATCGAGGTTTCACTATTTTAATTATTTCCTAGCAATTTTTTATAGCACATTGGATGCATTCATATGGGATTCAACACGTCTTGAATATGAGGCAGCAAGACACTGCGAACTTCGAACTCGTGGTTCCTTATTCGGTCGTTCAGCTTACGGCATAGGACTGCAAAAAAATTCCCCATGGACTCCGCACATTACAAATGCTATTTTACGCCTTACTGAAAGTATACGATAGTTTTTTAAAATATTTTCGATTACTTCAATATTTATGGGAAATAATATGACAATATACTGCAGGTGGAAAAATGGAAGAATTGTATGACAAATGGATAACGCAACATCAAAAGAAAGATTGCATAAGAACAGAACACAAATCACCAGCTCGTTTAGGATTAACCAATATGCGAGGCTACCTTTTTATTTTGGTGAATTAAGGCCAAAATGAGAAATAGAAAAGCTGATGCTTAGGCCAAAGATACATTGGCTAGCAGAAATAGAATAAATATATGTAAATGTGAGCCTAGTAAATTGACTTTGGTAACAATAAATAACAGAGAATCAGAGAATTCTTAACGTAGATTTCGAAAAAAATATTTTGAGATAACACCTGAAAAATATTTTCATCGATGTTATCAATGTCGGCAAATGATCTGATTCTTTCTCTAACACTTAAGCCACTGCCAGTTTAGCTCGCTTCACTGATAAGCCTCGCGATGCGATTCTTGAAAATAACTGACACTCTTTCTAGACCCATAAAATTCGATCTAATTGGTACTTTTTTTTTATTAAAAATGATAAAATCAATATTTTGCTAAAAAAATTATTTCAGTCTGTTGTATTAAATCATAAGATATACGATGAAATTCAATTAATTCATCGCCTCACAACAATGAAATTATATTAAAATTTAATTAATAAAATTTTAATAAAATAATAAAATTAATTAATAAAATTTTTAGACGTGTTCATCTTAATATCTGGAGGGATTGTGGTTGGAATTCTTCTTAGTGTAATCGAGGTCTCCTATGGACGACATAAAACAGCTAAAAGGTTCCATTACTGACGACAAATTCGATTACTTCAACATTACTTCGAACGTAGAATATTGATGCTAATAAAAAAAAAAACGAGAAAACTTTATCAAATGAACTGCGAACGATAGCAACGTTTTGTTCGATGAAGGGCAGAATAAGACAGTGGACAGGTGTCCAGATTACCGGATGATCATCCTATAAGACCCGAATTCTATCCCCGATAAACCTGTTATAGTAAACCTGTCATTAGAAATTCAGGCAGTGAAGATCCACTTGTTCTCATTTATTAGCAAGTGAGCTCTTCGCAGAAATTTCTAACCGTACTGACAATTAGCACAATTAACAATTATCATTTATCATTATACAGATATACTAAAGTAGAAGCTTATTTTCTTAGGCTTTTTCTTGCAGAAAGCAATTAGAAATAACAATGCGCTGTGCTCGCAAATGGCGACTGCTGACAAAACGTCGAATTCGAGTGAATTTTTTTCATTAATTTAGCTCTAGATACGTTCTAATATTACGCAATAATAATTCCAATTCCAATTTTTCCTAATCATATACCCAAGATGATAACGTCCTATGGTGCTTGGAAAAACAACACTACGACTTAGAGCAGGTGAAGCTAACCGAATAGTTTTTTCTCGATGTCTCAGATTATACTGGATACATGGGGATAGAATGGCTCGGTGGGTCGTTGGTCAATTGGAAGCGCCGATGCTGAGATTCGATTTTCCGCAGGAGTAAACCTGTATAAAAATCCGTGTAATGCTGGTTGATTATCTGCATATCGCCAAGGAATTCCCTGGCATATTGCCCAATGCGACAAGCCAGTGACATGAATAATGGTGAGAATTCCTAAAAAAAAATACTGGATACATACTTTTACGCAATAAATATTTCATCCGCCATGTCTATCTTTCTTTTCCATTTTCTTCTAATAATATCGATAAGACTTAATAAATTAATCAATAAATTAATATATTTTAATAAATTAATTCCAGTATAATCGTGAAATCCAAAGATATGCAAATAGCAACGCCTATGGATATTTGATTCAACGGAAGATCTTTAGAACAGAATTAAATTTTCGCAAGAAAAGCGTTCGCGTATATTGCAGTCGTTGCCGGGTATATAATTAACTTCACAGATAATTAGGAAATAACTTGAGGATAGATGCATGACTTCCCAACATCATATAGATTTTTAGCAAGTTTATTCTCAACTCTAGTATCAAATAGTAGAACCGGAAGCTTGGAACTGAAGACGATAATTTCAACACAATCACTCGGCTAGTGATAAAGAAAAATATAAGCATTGATATGAAAATTTCTCTATGGATTATTTGAATTCATCACTGATAATATCAGTAGAATGGTCACCGTTTTACTTTCAGAATCTCATCGAAACTCACCCATATCCAATTGTCGGCCTATTCGCTTATATAACATCAGCAATTCTGATTATTCTATTTCTTTGGCCATGTGCACCAATTCCGTGCTTTTTATCATGTTTCGCTGATTATGTCCATTTTTGTCCACGCTGTGGTCATAAAATTGGTCAATATAGAAGAGGAAGAAAGCCGAAATTTTTTGTTTAATTTGCCGCTTATATTTCGACAATCATTTATCACAAAATGATATAAATTTGCTTCGATTCGTTTATATTTTTATTTCTACTCCATTTCTACTCCACCATTAATTGAGGAATGAAAAAAGAAATGAAAAGCCTAAAGCCTAAACAGCAGCGATATTTAGAAAAATTTTTTTTTGATGCGCGCAGGCCGGATCAATAACGAATTAGGGTGCCTATCACGCGGTTATAACTTAGATTTTTGAACTGCTTGATAAGGGCAGAAACAGATCGCTTTGCCGCACTCCTGGACAGAGCTTTACGCGAGTCTCAAGCTTGGGTAATTGGAAAAACAGCACAATGGAAAACAACGAGTGTAAAAAAGTGAATAAGTGAAAAGAAACTGAGAACTAAAAAGTTGAACTTTTTAAGAAATAAAAGAGCACACAAGAAAGATAGCAAAAAGAAATGTATCTATCAAATCGAATTTAGTAGACATTCAAAAAGTGAAAAAAATAAAATCAAATGCCCTCCAACCACAATAAAATAAATCGCTTGGCAGACGCGACGCTCTAAGTAACTGAAAGTTGGGGCCAATTCCTTCGAGAAATTAATTAAGGAATTGGCCTCCAACAGATGAAATGATTTGAAATAAAAACTTGTAATGAGAAACTTCTTTGGCAGGTCAAATTTATAATAATAAATTTAGAATACACCGCATTTCGCGACACTCAAAGTGAAGCCAATCGTAAAGTCAAAGGAATTATATGACAAGTTCCTTCCTCTTTTTTCCAGACTTCTCCCACTGTTACTGGTTCAGCTGACTATATCGCTGTTTATAAAAGAAATCAATTCCAGGCTTGTCGAGCCGACGCCATGGCCTCTCCTTTTCAATCTTGATTAAACACCTCGATTCCTAAGTCCTGGAACCTTGGTAATACACGCTTATCTATTCAATATGTTCGCAGAGTCCGAGTCTTCACTGGACTTGCGTAGACGATACTCTGCGACGATATTGATGATAATGATAACGATAATGATAATGATGTGGTCAGTAATTGAGTGAAAGACCCCTACCTGCTGCAATCAATTTGTGCAGAATGATCCTTTTTGCAGAAGGCCACATTTGAAGGACCACAATCACAGCAAGATTCATGGACAAATAGGCATTATTGGAAGCATACTACTTGTCAGTTTAAATAAGGCAGAAATCACTATTTATCAGATGTTTGTCAGTCAAACAATGTATAAGATTGATTTCTAAGAATTAGATGCTGCACGGGATTCTCGAGTTGGGGGGGGGGGGGGGGGGGGGAAGGTATTTAGTATTTTAATTCTAATTTTAGTTAATTTCAGGTCATTTCAAATATTATTAAATTTTCGTGCTAATTTATTATTTACAAATTTTAATAAATTCTTTGGTCGATGCAAAGTCTGGAGGAAATTCTTTTTTAACGATTCTTTTAATTCTTTCATCGGTATTTGTTTTTGGAACTTTAAAATTCTTTGCTTATAAGCCGAAATGAATAGTTAAGACGACGCTGAACATTGCAGATAAGACGTCCGAATGTTAGTAACGTTGGGCTGTTCGCGTGTTTGCTTCTCAGTTTGTGGCTGTGCGGTGTTGGTTTAGTTTGGCAAAAAAGAGCAATTTTAGACTTCCAGGTGAGTTACTTTCTTCGCTTCTTGAAATATTCCGCGAATTTGTTTTGATTTTCCTCTTTGTTCTATGATTTTTTCATTTTTTACTATTTGTAACTTTATTTCTGCTATTCCTTTTTTCCTTCCAACGAATCAGTGCTGGTTTGGCTGTCTCCGGCAGGGAATTGTAGCGCATATAAGAGAGGTTATTCGCGAGCCATTCGATCCTCTGCGATATTTCGAAATTCTCTCATTCTTTTTTATTTTGCCTTGTTGGATTGCTCAGCTTTTGTTTTTCGCGTTTTCACGTCTATAAACCAGTTGTTAGCCATATTTGTTCGCTATTTTTGCATTTTCATAGGTTAAACTTCACTGGCAGTCATAAAAAATTATTTGTTCAGCTCCGAATTATTCCATTTCTCTGCCAATTTTTATGATTGGGCTGCTCAAGTTAAACTCTTTTCTTTTTTTATTTTTCGATTTTAAATTTTTGATTATTTGATTTTTTGAGTTTTTTACTGCAAATTTAATTTCAGCTATCATTTACTGTATTTATATTTATAAATTTTCTTGATAAATTGATTATGAATTTTAAATGATTTCGCCTTATAATAATCAACTTTCATGGTAAAACATTTATCGCTGTTGTGTTATCGTAAATTCATTGTTCGTTAATTTCGAATTAAATGCTAAGCTACTTAAGCTTTTCTTAATTTGTTATTTGTTTAAATTGCATGGGGTCGTTGAATTTCACGTTAATATTTTTGGAGGAATGAGTTTATTTTTTTCATTCTTTGATATTTGTTTATAAGTTGCAACTTTTTAAATTAATGTTTAAATTATATTATTCACTAGAAAAAATTTGTGAAGAATTAATTTTAAGGAATTTAACAAGTGCTTCAATTCATTTTATTATTAGGTTTATCATTTTCTTAACAATTATTTTTTAAATTGTTTCGTTTACGTTTTTGCATAGTGTATTCTTTCTTCTTCAGATTTTGATTGGGCCTCCACGCTTTTGGCTCCATTCATCATAGGGTTTAACAGGTAGCAAAACGTCGATTCCTGCGATGTGAGACGAAGAACTCGACCTAACCAGTAGAGGTTTTATGCATGGGATGTTCGAGCAAAGATGAGCGAAATCATGTGGGAACTATGCATGCTGTTGGCGAGTACCTTAGGCAGAAATGGTCAAAGGTAAATAGCTTCCTTTCATCTTCCGTTCTCATTGGCATGGTTTTGCAGCCGTATGAACAGCAGATAGATGCGAATTTCGTTTTGAGACCAATATCACGGCGATTCCAAAGGAATTTCGCCAGACAAAAGGAGGCACTTCTAGGTGCAAATATATAAGTATTCGATTTCATTCTCCGCTGGAATTTCATCCTGGTCATTAAGTATGAGACTGGATCCAACATATTTAAAAACTGTGACGCTTCTTGAATTGTTTAATTTATGTAGATTGGGATCATACCAGCGTTTGGTTTATAAGAAAAGAATTTCGTCCTGATTATGTTGGTTCAACGCCAATTTTCGTTGCTATCAGTATTCTGTTCAGGCGTCTGTTGGAGTTCATCGTAGATGTCAGCGAAAAGAACCATGTCATTAGCGTATTTAAGGCTCATGATACTATCTTCTGGATCGATTTCTACACCTCTAGGGTGCAGGATTTCATTACCAGGTTTTTGCATAGTTGAAAATTGTAGAGGAGAGAGCGCAAACTTTATAATACACCAGTATATATTTCAAGAATTTACGTCAGTTTCCCATATTTACAAATCTACATCGATAAATTGTTAATAGCGAAATAATTTTTTTTGCTTCATATTGCACTTCACGCAAAACATATCATAAAATAGAGATTGCAGGATTATTTGTTAAAAATAGCTGAATCTGTTTGAATAGGTGCTCGTAAAGATGGTAATTGTTGGTTCAGTGTGGCATATGCTTTTATTGACATTATTTCAATTGATTTTCATCGTGGTAAGTGCAAAGTTCGGAAAATATTTTTTGGGTTACTTTTTGTAAATCAGTTTCAGATTATTTTAAGATTATAAGATTATTAATTCACAGTATTTTTAGTTCAGTGAAGGAAGAAAAGATAAAACTCATTATGAATCAAGTTACGTTTATATGCTCGTAAAAAATGAAATAAGTGGGAAAGAGCGACAGTTTTGTGTTAATTACCAACAGTGGCGCAGTGACTTTATCGCTGAAAGTGCAATACAAGCAGTAAAATTAAATTTTTTTTGCGAAATTTTAATGCAATAAATTTTTACTCCATGAATTCTCGAAATCACTTTACGTTCGAATTGGATAATATAGATCTTATGGCGTATAAATATATGAAATTTTTGCCTTTCTGCGGTATTTGGTTACGCATTTGGCATATTTGGTACGAATAAGTGGATAGCACGATGTACTTCAATCTCCAATTGGCTTTCTGGCAAAATCCTACAAATAGCTAAGCAAACCGTACTCTGATCAATAGCTGAACCATTGTACTGGAAATGGTAATCTAGATCTAAACAGTACATATTCAGCGATAACATAGCTGTAATACTGTTTTACTGCAAAAATATTTCAGAATGCTGTAGAATTAGCTTGGTGGGGAGGTATTGTTGGTAATACAAATGTTTGTGCATCAAATACCAGTGTAAATTATGCTGGCAAAGCTGTCGCGTTGAACTACAGGATAACAGCAGATGACGGGCGTTGTGCAGCACCATTTGTTATATCTAACATGAGTTTTAAAGGTGCGATTCAGTATGAGGTTCGAATTCGAATTTATTTATACTTTTAGGGATATTCTTATTTAATTATATACTTGGTATTAGACATTGATTCCCCGTTTTGAAACGATATTGGTTTTGTTAGATTGAAATTTCATGAGATGAGATTCTGTTAAAAATGTTAACAAATAGAAACTTTACCTCAAGTTAAGGTAAATCTTCCAGCTATTTCTTAAAGAACTTCATTAAGTTTTTATTAAGTTACATTTCATTAAGTTATATCATGTTGCCAGTTGTGGCTGTTTTTCATTCATCATTCTAATATTATTTTATTTTAATAATTCCTTTTATTGCTTTTCAGGTAGATCAATTAATTTCACAGGAAGCAAGTGTTGCACTCATACTTGTTGATAGAGGACGCCATTTTGTGAGCAGATGGTTTGATTATTTGGTATTAATTCAGATTTTTTCCTTTTTTTCATTAAACATGAGAACTCGAATAAACAAGCCAATTTTAAAGAGGCGAAAAAGAGAAATGGCAATCTTTTCTTTTGATTTTTTTTTTTGATATTTGTATAACGCCATATGTGCATATAAATTTTTTTTCTGTAATTTTAACTGAGTTTTTTTAGTTCGCTGAATTTTATGATCCCGATCTCAATACAACATTGCCGACATTTTTTATTTATAAAAATGTTTTTTTAAATGATTTATTAGTGAGTTTTTTATATTATTTTTTATTAATTTTCCCTAACATCCTGGACGCATTTTTTGAAATCATGAAATCATGTATATAGTTATAAAAATTTTAAGAAATTTTTAAGAAATTTTTCGCCAGTTGTTCATTTGGTTTTGCATATTAAAGTTTTACTGTCATATTTAATTTAGAATTCTTATTCATCTCGGTCAATGTTCACCTAATTTTTCATTTTTCTGTATCATGATATTATATCATTATTTCAATATTTCAGGGTCTCAGCACAAATAAAACAGGAAAAGATCTTACCATTAAATTTTATCGACCTTTATATTCTATTTGGGATTGGTCAATGCTTATTATTTGGCTTCTTGCAGTTTTTTGTACTGGAGTTGGTGGGTTCTGGACAGGACGTACTATGTAAACGATTTGTTATGATAGTTAAGCTAATTAACTAAGAATTATAATTTAATTGAGTAAAAGGCTCACCCCACAGATGAATCGCCCGACACACCCAATTATTTTCACATTCGTCATTTCCGCAATATTCTTTTTTAACTGTTCCATTTCCATTTATATTCCCTCAATACTCTCGGTTCTCATTCTTGTTTTACAGTGCGTGACAATTTAACGTAGTTTCAAGGAATCTAACTGGAGAGCATTAAGTTTCAATAAAGATGCAGCAAAAAGAATTTTTATTGTATAATAACATTGGCTAATTTAGAGGTGATGAAGTATCGCAAAAAATCCACCGTATCGATGACACTCAAGCAAAAAAAGATTCATATGATAAAGAAACAATAAATTCATTTGCAACTTGTGTTTCCATTGCTCTCGTAATGCTTATTGTTATTGGAGTGCTTATGCTTGGCTTCTTTTTTCGGCCAGTGATGGGTATTTTTTTGTTTATTTGTAAATTAGTCTAATTATTCACTGGAAATTTTGGAAGGATTTCAATTAATGGAACAAAACCACTGTAATATTTTTTTAGATTGAATGAGGATTTTTACATCTAATCTATATTTATTTTCAGTATTTGTTTTCAATATGTTTCTTGCAATTATTGGTATATTTAGCATTCATCGGTGTTTTATGACGGTTATTCAGCGTTACTGCAAATCTACATTATCTTATGTATGTTAATGAAGATGTTGAAACTAATATAAATGATAAAAACTCGATTTTAAATAATCATTTTGAAAAAATTCAGTAAGATTAAAGTATGAATTTCTTTTGAAATTACAGGATGAAATCTTGCAGTTTATTAGAATTTAATATATTTTTTTACTCTTTTGCTTATGTATTTTGTAATATTTATTTTTTTAGGGTTGTTCGTTACATGAAATGGCTCAGACTATATTTCGCAGAGAATTATTGCATATTAATGAGTATTTTTTATCTAGGTCATTCATACTATCTGTAATTGTATTCGTACTTTCCACTTTTATTTGCGTATCTTGGTTTATTTTCCGGCGCAGTCCATATGCCTTTATTCTTTTAGATTTTATAAATGTAAATATTTGTTTATACGCACTCAAAGGTTTCCGGTTTTCATGTCTTAAGGTATCTCATTTATGAATTATCTATAACCATTATTCAAATTTTTAATTTTTTCTCAGAATTAACAATACATTCCTAAGCGTTTGTGAAATAAGGTGTTTATTCCAGTTTTTATTCCTATTTTCCAAATTCTTCATTTCAGTGGTTAACCGTACTCTTAATTTGTATGTTCGTATATGATATATTCATGGTATTTGGAACTCCTTTGCTTACCAGAAATGGTTGTTCAGTTATGATCGAAGTTTGCTTTACTTTGTTTTATTTGTGAACTATAAGCACTCATTTGATTTCTCTTAACGCTATTTTTTTGGAGAGAATTTATCAGCAAATGTTTCTATATAAAGTTTAAATATCTTTATCATGATCATTTGCCCACTCATCTTGCACTTTTTAGATCAGATTAGACTTATACATATTAGATTAGACTTGATAGTTAACTCCACATCATATTACCCGCAGACTATATCTAATTTATTCTGAAATCTTTGCTGCAGATCCTATTTAATAGTTGCAAAGAAAAAAATAATTTGTATAATTTATATTATACAAGTTTACACGTTATAATACAGCTCTCTAGTGTACAATAAGCATTTCATGCATCCACTATCTCACTGTCGTTTTTGGGTGACTTGTTTTACTTTCGTATAACCGGATTAGAACAGGTTAAGGCCATTAAAAAACCTTTTTACCAGCTTTTTGAATCTAAATATTATTAAACCAATGGTATTTTTAAAATTTTTTTTTGAGGTAGCAGCTGGTACGGATTGTTCAAAATCGCAAGGTGTTTATCCTGTTGCACCTATAAATAGCGACACACCAGAAATGGTAATGTTATGTCATGTTAATGTTAAAGTTCTGAATGATCTTCTCAATTAGTTTTTGCGAGTTAAAAAACTATTTTTAGTTCCCAATGTTATTTCAAGTACCACATTTGCGTGAGCCGTTGATCTCTTGCATCGATCTCGAAGTTGAAAAAGATTTTCATCCTGTATTTCTTGGTCTCGGCGATGTGATAGTACCGGGTATTTTGTTGCATTCTTTTTATTATTTTTTACTTTTAAAAAATGAAAAGTTTTTTAGTGAAATGAAAATGAAAATAAAAATGAAGTTTAATTTATATTTTAATATAAAATGGTTAGTTTAAGCTAGTTCTTAAATATTACGGCTAAAATTTTTCATATTGCAGGGTATTTAACAAGCTTTTGTTTCATGGCTGATTTAGCTATTGGAACTTGTTATCTTTATGGCATTGTTTCTGTTATTGGTAAGTTTTGTTGATAGTAGGAAAATAATTGAGAGTTTCGTTCATTGTCTCTTCTCCCACTTGTTTTTCAAAAGTTTATTCTTAACATTTTATTCTCAAAAACATTAAAACCACTTTTTTTTCCAATTCCAACCTCTAGCTGCAACATATTTTCCCACAATTTATAGGATATGGTGTTGGCCTTTTGATGACTTTCTTAGCGCTAACATTAATGGAAAGTGCTCAACCAGCTTTAATTTATTTAATACCCTTTTCGCTATTACCAGTTATGGTTCTTGCATTAATTCGTAAAGAGTTTAAAATCTTATGGAATGGCCTCTTCGAATTTAAAAATGTTATTCTATTTTTATGATTTTTAGATCAGAAAATTTATTTTCATTATTTCGCACCCTTATAAGACGTTTTTTTAATTTGCTTATTATCGAATTATTTGGATTTTTGTGAAAAAATGAGATCCTCGAACTGTGGATTTTAATATATTTGAAGTTCTTTAGAATCAGTCGAATGTGGTTATTCGAAATGCTCCATTCGAAACCTTAAATAAAACAGAGATATCAGTATCGTCTTAAAAATGACAACTTAAATGATATCGTTTGGATCTCGGCGCTCGGTATATATTTGTTTTTTTTCTTAGTAAATAAATACTGTTTTCCAATTTTAAATTACAAAAAAGCGTCAATAAAAGTTCTTTCTTCCAAAAGCTATTTTAGTTGGTTTTGACTGATAAATAAGTTAAGATCATTTCATATCGCTTAGAAATCAGTTGGAGGGATAGATACATAATGGTTCCTAATAAGCAAACTTTACTTTCAATACCAGGTTGCTCCTGTCAAGAGGCAGGAATCGGACACACCTGTGATTCTTGGTTTTAGCCAACACAAATTATTGTTTTTTATTTGGACAAATTCAAAAGTGGTCCTCGATGTTTTGTTTGCTTTTCCGATCATTTATGTTTGTAGAAATTTTTTTATATGTATCATTTATGAAATTTAAGAGTTTTAGTTTTATAGGTTGAAGGGCAAATACAATTATAAAAATTTTAGCAACAATACCTATTTATTTCTTACCAACGCTTTTTGTTTTTGCTCTTCAACTGCCGGTCGTATGCATCATTTTCTACACTGCATGGTATAAAAATTTATTTTTCTTCTATTTTAAATGCGCTTTGAAAATTTGAAATATCTGACGGTTTTCACCAATGTTCATAGAACCTGAAAACTTCCCGACAATTATATGTATGCTTCGTTATTCTATATTACTATTTTGATCGAAATTAAGGTTGCACAACAAAATATTTTTTCGGCATCGGTCGAAAAAATGTCGCTTTACGTTTTTGGTGGAACTGTATTGCAAAATTAATGTTAAATAAAAATTATGTATGTATTGCTTAGCAATTAAAACATTGTTATAGGGGAAGGTCGTTTAATGGCAAAATTCATCCATTCAGCGTTTAAGATTCTCATAAAAATTGATTTGATGTCGTGATGGACTCGATGAAATTTATTATTCCGTAGTTATTCATGCTGATTTCGAAAATTCTATTAAGAATCTCTCATTCGACGAATGCTTATTCTTTCAAGAAAAGAATAACAGTACGAGACTTTCTTACTTATCCTTGGCTAAAATGGGCGGTAAAAGCTATGTGGACTTCATGACGGTCACTATTAATCAGGACAGCTCGGATTCTGTGGCGAATTTGCAGCCATTCGAAATATTTCTTCTATCACGGAATAAGCTTAGACCCTCCAAAAACACCAAATTAAATGAAGCAAATGAATACATTTCTTTAATGCTTTGCCTCGAAGTAATTCTTTTCAAAGTCTGCTATACCGCAAAATTATAAAATTTTGCCTTCATATCTAACAAAAACTTCGGCCTCCGTTCTAGATATTCCTTGATACTCCTTGATATTTCAATTTCAGGCAAAGGATGAAATCTGCCTCCTGCTATATCTTTGCCATGGATATTTCTTGTCCGAAACCAGGAAAGCTGGTGCATCCTATTTCAATTTTCTTTTCCTCCTTTATTGCATGTAATAAAAGTCATTTCCCTTTTCATTGAGAAATCTCCAGATTTGTCGAGGAAACTAGAAAAATACTCGATGGTCAAATATAACTGTAAAATAACTATAACTGTAAATCTAACTGCTTTTAGACCAAGGGAATTAATGTAAACTATAATAAACTATATTCTATTCTAAAATGTTTTTTTGTGAAGTCGACAGTTCACTTTTATCCTTAACAATCAAATATAAAATAAATCCATCCTTAACCAATAGCCAACATGAGCATGCAAAAATTTGAATAAAATAGCTAGGCATTCCTTATTCGCATATGGCTAGATACTAGGTACCAATAAGAACCACTGCTCATGTAGAAAGCTCTGACATTACCTTTAACAAATATAAATAATGCAAAAAAAGCAGCTTATAAAAATAGCTACTTGTAACAATTCAATCAATAAAGAGCCATAAATATCAAAAAAATCCCACATATATTCAAGATTAGCTTATTAACATCAAATACAGATTTTTTCCCTTTAACATTACATTCTATTACATTCTATCCAAGAAATTATCAAGACCAGGTATTTGATCTTTAAGACCTTTACGTTTGCGAGTTTCTAATACTATTTGGTTAGGCTTGCTATTTGCTTCAAGCGGATCACCAGGAAAAACTTGCCAGTGATCAAATACACATTGAGGAAAAGCTTGACCACCTGTATTTGAACGAAGGTCAGCTGTGAAACCTAAAATATATATAAAATTCATAAATAAAATTAATTTGAGAATATTGTAAAGTCACATTTTAAAAACTGACCAAAGGATTCGTTGACAGGCAAATATGCTTTAACGACAAACATCGGTGTTCCTGCTATCTGTGATTCTTCGAAAACGTGCCCTCTTCGACGATTTAATACTCCATATATACCTGTCAAACACTTTAATGACCGAATGATTCAAATGATTACAAATACAGAAAAATGGAGGAGTGTTAAAATCCTTTCTTGAAACTTAAGACGGACACTGCTTTAAATTTAAAATTTTGAAAAATTTCTCACCTCCAACAGCATTTTCTGGACATTGTATTTCGACAAGATACACAGGTTCCAGAATACGTGGGGAAGCCGTTAACACACACGCATAAAAAACACGACGGGCAGTAGGAATTATCTGACCGCCACCTCGATGAATTGCGTCGGCGTGAAGCGTTACATCATGAATATTAAACCTAACCGCTGAAAAAGATAAAATCCAATGTATTTAACATAATATCATAATATATAAGATCCAAAGCTTTATGTATTAAAGAGAGACATGATAATATACATCAGTACCAAAATATAACTTCCTCAAAACTCGTCCTTACATAACTTAGTAATTCACATTTTAGTGGTAAAACCATATCTAAACGAAATAGAACTAGATAAAAGAATAAAACTAACAATCTACCTCGCATATTTTCCTCACATAAGACACCTTCCTTTGTCGCCCACTGGAAACCAGCAACAACTGAATCCTTAATTTCATTTAAGTATTGAACTCCTTTAGTGACATCCACGAGGATATTGGCGCCTGTACCTTCCGGACCAAAGCACCAGATTTTGCGGGCTTCAGTCACATCATAATCATACTTCTCGGCGAGAATTTTGGCACGGGCCTAAATTACCAAATTAAGGACTTATTTACATCGAGTCGCAGAATCAAAAACAAATAAAAAATACCTTTAATTCATCGCGAGCGTTGATTTGCCCATTGTCAATATCGTCCGCCAAACCATCTGGCATAGGCACAGCTTTAGCGAACAGTCTGTTATGCTTATTCGGCGATTTAGACAAACACATCTGATCTGATTCCTCCGAAACAGTCTCTCTATATGAAACGACTGGATCGGATTTCTTAAGCGGAATGCATGCATGATCTTCTTCTAAATCTTTTAGGCAAATCTCTAAATGCAATTCGCCGGCACCAGCAATGATGTGTTCTCCAGATTCTTCAAAAATGCACTGCACCATAGGATCCGATTTAGCCAACCGTTTTAATCCTTCCACCTGAATTGAAAAGTGAATAAAAAGAAAAATCTACAAATAAGATTTGCTAATCAATCAAAAAATATGAACCAAAAATTATTTCTCAGTTGAAAAATATTAAAAATAACCAATTTCGGCAAGTCTCCGGGATTCTTTGGTTCAACAGCTACGCGTACAACTGGCGAGACAGAGAATTTCATCACACGCAAATTATGCGCATCTTTAAACGTCGTAATAGTTCCACCTTTTACAAGATACTGGTCCACTCCAACCAGGCCCGCAATATTACCAGATGGGATATCTTCTATAGGCTCGACGTAACGGCCCATCATAAGAATGGTTCTCTGTATGGTTTTTTCATACAAATCTTCCTTCTTACCGGGCGTATAGTTTGGCCCTTGAATTCTAGCTTTCATACCAGTTGCCACCTAAAAAGATAAGACATTCGAAGTAAGCAAAATAAGATAAAAATGAAGCAAGAACGATACCTTGCCCGAAAAAACACGACCAAAAGCGTAGAATCGACCCTTATCTGAAGTAGGTACCATTTTTGATACATACATCATTAATGGCCCATTTGGATCGCAATTCTTTATAGCTATTGCGGCTTCATCATCATGCGGTCCCTCATATAACATTTCCATCCTATATTTTTGAGCAGTCACTGGAGACGGTAAATGAATACAGATCATTTGAAGCATGGTGTCTCCCGCTGGCAACCATTTACGCATCATAACCTAAATGAAGCATAAAGTTGCAAAAAAAGTGCAATCCTAAATATTTTCGACATTCTCTTTATATTATTCAAATAAAATATTTAAGGCATTATTTAAGGCAAAATTAAAAGAAAACATACTCACTTTCATTAAAGGTTTTCCCTCTAAACTCTTTTCTTCATTGGATAATTTAATATCCAATTTCTCGATCAACTTCGCTGTCTCATCTTTCTTGACATTCATGACCGCATCAAATACTTTGAAAATTGGATCAAGTACAAATTGTACAAAACCTCTCTTGCTGTCAGGATCCTGAGTCGAAGACCATTTTTTTGTCTTTAAATTGAAAAACCTATCTCCCCATAAATTACGCATTAATTTCTCCACCTGAAAATCAGAGAAAGTAAAGATCATGAATGATCTTAAAACACGTATTTATGTAACGCAAATAAGAAATTACTTTAACTCCGAACTTCTCGGCATAAATTTCAGCAAACTGTTTTAAAGTGAAAGCCCATCCATGAAGTCCCGAACCAAATCCAACATTTCCAATAGCTGGATCAACCATGATTGGTCCCATTGGTCCATCATCATCACCATAAGTGGCAATAATTACATTAATATTTTCAACTATTCGTTGAAATGTTTGATAAAGTTCTTCTTGACCAAGTTGTAACTCTAATAAGGCACGATCCATTTTATTCATGAAAAGAACTGGCTTGATCCTTTCAGCGATGGCTTGCCGCAATACCGTCTCAGTTTGCACACACACTCCTGTGAAAAACACCAAATTCCTAACGAAGTAGATGTTTTCTTTTTTATCCAAAATTTTAAAAAAAATTTATATGTAGAACGACTAAAAAATGCTAACACCGACAACAATGCCGTAAGCGAATTTTCAAAAACCGCACTACATAATTTAGCGTTCAATCGACACCTAAAGAAGAATATTTCCCCTTCAAGCTCTAATTTGACGCAAAATTATTCGTAAATGAGAAATCAGGACAAAAAAAACCTTAGGAAAAATAAATGAACTAACCGGATACGCAATCAACAACAACTAAAGCACCGTCTGTTACGCGAAGCGCCGCAGTAACCTTAAAAAACATGCTAAAACAGGCGACATTTTTAAACGATGATACCACATAAAAATTTCTATCAATAATACAAAAATCTCAAAAAAAATTGCATGAACAAAGTTATTTCACATATTATATTATAAAAAACAGCAACATATTTTCCAATCATACCTCACTTGAAAAATCTACATGGCCAGGTGAATCGATAAGATTTATAAGGAATCCTTTCAATTTCTGTTTCTCGCCATTCACTACATCAATTTCCACTTGATTTTCCTGTTTGATAAAATCTAAATCTCTGGCTTCGAGTTCAAAGAACAATGATATACCACTAAAATAATAATCTTTAAAAGAGTATTTTAAAATTAAAATAAAATCCAAAACAATAATGGACTCACGTCGACTTAATAGTAATGCAGCGTTCTTGTTCATCCTTTCGGGTGTCAGTGAAACGTGTCTCTCCAGCCTTAGCACCGGCTATTATACCCGCTTTTGATACCAATGAATCGGTTAATGTTGATTTCCCTGAAAAATGTTGTGGAAGATTTAATATGATAGCACGAGATTTTCCACAGAGAAATCTAAAATCATCACGATCTGAAAAATATAAATTGGAACTTACTATATTCAGAGAATTCTACGAAATGATCTTTGTAACAAAATAAAAAAACAAATAAATAAGGAAATTGATATTAAAAGTCCACTTAACACAAAAAAAATAAAAAATAAAATAAGGAAATAAAGTAAAATTCGAAGTTGAAACCAGAAAAAAAGATGAAACGAATAGCCGCGATGAAAATCGCTAAAAGAACCAAATAAGATAAAACCAATAAAAATAAATTAAATTCAATTTTGAAAAAAAAAGCTTACCATGATCAACGTGCGCGATAACCGACATATTCCGAATATTCTTTTTTCGATCCATAATACTTCGGATCTCATCTATCGTGAAATTCACCTACAATGACGGTTAGTGACCATCTTATTTCAACTTACTTATTTTCTATGCTTAAATCTTCAAATTTCAGCAATCTGGTGACGATACTTACTAAAAGATTAACATCACTGCAGATCAATTTTCGAATTAATGACACGAAGCAACAACAAAACAGGAGTAAAAAAGCTGAGAAAAATCTTAAAATCTCAACTGACATTATTTTATCATCTATTATTACTGTTAGACTATTCCCAATGAGGGTGGAATTTGAGATTAAGACTTAAAGACACTTTAAAACTTCAGAAATAAAAGAATGTGGGCAGGCTCGAATGAAACAGATCGTATTCGTGACCGATAAGCATAAAGAAAAGAAGCATCGAAAATCACTGAATACTCTCAAATGGTAAATAAAGGGAAAGGAAAGATTCTAATATATGGTGGGGCGTAAAGGGAAGCAGTTGAAAATCACTGGGCGAAAAATTTACCTATTTCATTCAATTTGCCAAATCAACTCTTTCCCTACTAATTATCCTCAATAATTTTCGATCACATAACATTTATTAAAGCCAAAACAAACTAAAATCTTTGTCAAATTAAATTAAAACTCCCTTCCACTACAATGCAAATTTAATTGTCGAGAATTTAAAAGAATTTCAATTTCCCTAATAAATTTGGGAGTTCAACCGAATAATTTTTGCATATTTCATAACAGACAATTAAAAATAACATTAAAGAAAGGCACTAAAATTTTAAGGAATTTCTAGAAAAAAGTTACAAAGAGCGTTTCAGTTTTCCTCGAAATGCCCTCCCAGCTTTAAGCCATCAAAAGCAGAAACTAAGCACTACTCGAAAGTAAAGGCGAAGAAAAAGTGAGTGATCCTTTGATAGACACTAGTAAGTCACTTATAGGTCTTTGGCCATTTCCATTAATTATAAATTAGCGTTCCAAACTCAAAAGTCGAAATTCGCCGAAAAATTCACTTACCATCCTTTTAGTCGCTTCAATCTATTGGTGGCTGAACAGAAACAATAATATACGTATAAAATGAATGGCTCGTTTAAAGTTCATAATATAGGACCTGAAAATCTATTTCATTTTGTTATGGGTATAATGGCAAATTTCGGGTACGGTAGGCGCGTATTTAAAATTCCAGAAAAATAAACGAGGTCACAGCCCATTTGACTTAATTGTACAGCCGGGTGAGAGTTCTATTACGCTCGGTGTATCCTATCGATGGTGGTTGTGTGGACGCGTGGTTATTTTGTTTATATGATTCATGAGCGTATTAGCTTGATTGGCTTTATTTGATATTCATTGTATTTCATTTCGCTTATTGGGACGGGTTATAATCTCCGACAGTAAAAAAATGAAGTCTTTTCGTGTTATAAGAGGTTAGGGCACGTTCTTCGTCTCCCACCACAGTAAGGTTTGTGTCGAAACGAGGTGTGCCAGTCAGGAGCTGGACTGACACAGTCAGGAAAGAACATAGAGGGACCGGCGATATGTGGACTTAGACGATGGAAGAAGGAATGGCTTCTTTTACTACCAGCGATGACATCAGATCGCCCGGCTCAGAAATATCTTTCTCTTCTAGCCATCCGAGCCACGGTGAGAAGGAGTAAAGATCTCCGACTCTAAATAGAAATCTGCTCAGTGCAAGTGAGGAAACCGTAAAACGGAGTGAGGAAAACGTTCGAATGATGTTTAATCGGATGGACGACCTTTTTTTCTAACTCATTCTGTTTTCTTCTTAGTAATTTTATTGTTAGTGCTATGTTTATGCTTTACGTTACGATTATTATACAAGTGCTCGGCTTCAGTTTTTTTCACTTCTCTGCAAAATAACAAAATGATTTGAATGGTTTTGTTCACTGAATATATAAATCCCCATTTATTTCAAGTCTGCTGTTGTTGTTGTTTTTCAAATTAGATTTATTCTGATTGGCTAACAAATTATGTTTATAAATTCATATCAAAGAAAGCAAATTTTGGTAAATCAAATTTTTCATTATCAAAAAATGAAAAAAAAGCGAAAAAACCACATCATTTCTGATTCTTTTGGTATTTTCGAATTTTTATTATTTATTTCTGATCATAAAATTTAAGGAATCTATTTTTTATATAATAATCCCACATTTTAATACGACACCAAGTAAATAGAAATTATAGCAAATTTATCAAATTTTGGGGATGCCGTGTGACGAATTTTAAGCATATTGATCCGCACGAATTGTTTAAGTTTTTCGCGGGAAATTTTTAATTTATAAAATTTGCTTTTTTTTAATAATTTTGCGAATCACTCGATTTCCGTTTTATTTTTTGCATGTCGTTTTTTTAAGGTTTGAAATTTAGTAATTTTTACCAAAAACTAATTTTCAGATTTGAAGAAAACAATGGAAAATGGTCAGTTAATTAAAATTTTGGATATTAATGAAAATTATCCAACGGAAATTGATAAAAACGACGAAATTTACGGAGATTCAGATGGTTTTGAGTTTTTTGTGAAGGAAAGATTGGTAATTTCGGATGAATTAAAAGAAAAATCATCAAATACATCTGATGGTGGTGAGAAATCACTGCAAATTAGTGACGCAGCAAATGCAACAAGTTTCGGTGCTGAGAAGAAGAAAGCGCCTTATAAAGAGCGCTTGAAAGAAATACTCTCAAAGCGAGTTGGTCGGCAGCCTTGTCTGAAACCAGCTGTCGAAATTGATTTGGTCGATGATCAGGTCCATTTTTTTTTTTAGTTTAATTTTTCTAGAAGCGCACTTCATTACTGGGTAGGATGGCTCGTTGGACGAGGTGAGTCGTGCCAAAAGTGCGAGTTGCACTACCTGAATTTTTGAAAGACGTATTTTCTCCTTTAGTGAAAGATCCAAGTTTCTTCGCTTCAAATTGGCACCTCGTTTAGCCACTCATATTCCTTTTTTTCTTTATTTTTTTAGTTGAGACAATAAAATGTATGCTATTTATGGTGATTTCGAATCTTTATGGTTATCAATCTGTGAACGCAGAATATTTTAATGGATGTATGAATTATCGAAATTATGATTAGTATGATTGCACGGTAATATGACGATTTTCACCTTCGTCAAGCCTTAATGTGGCCTGTAATTTATTTATGAAGTTCTATTTATAAGTATTGAAGTTTTTTCTGCGAATATTTCTAAGATGGCTTTCATCATATTCTTAAAAATTTCGCTTCACCAGAATCCTAAAAGATATAATTTCCTCCACATTTTCTTAAATGGCAGAATTAAGATTAGTGAATATAATGTTTTACATTAATTCTGAAAGAAATTTTCCATGGGATGCTTTATTTTTTAAAACGCTTCATTTTCATTATATATTGTTAACTAACCTTAATTTTTTATGATTTTTGTAATGGAAATTTGGAATCTTCACTTTTAGTCTTATTTTGCGTTCTTTTAATTTTGAAGTTTACTATTGCTTTTTAAGGAAAAAAGCAATGCACCCGACGAATGGTTTCGACGAAAATTCGAATGCAGATTGCAACCCACCGATAATATTTTAAATATGTTAATTTTGAATTATTATCATGTGAATTTTCATGTTAATCAAACCTTGGTTATATACCTTGAATGATATTACGAAAGGTCAAAAAAACTTGAAAAATGAATAGTTTTCAGGAAAGAGATTAAAAAAAAACTGGAAAATAGATGTATAACACCTGGTATGTTTACTTTTCCAGTAATTTACATAAATATTTTTGAATCGTTTTTGAACTAATTCTTAATATCTTATATATTTTACATATTATTCACTTTAAGAATTAGATCAGGTTTTACCGATAGACAAGAAGGCTCAATATAACTTTATATAAAATTTATATAAGCAGGTAATTTAATTAGGGCATGCACGGCAATTGATACAGCAACTTCTGGAACAACAAATGTCGACCAAAAGACGAGCTGATCAGGAAAAAAGAAAAAAACTTTATGATGAAGATAATTTTGTCGGTTTAAATGTTAACAATGACGATGGCGATTTTCTACCAAATCAGGACAAAAAAGTAATTGATTTTACTAATTTTTCCGAGACATTTTACAAAATTCCTTAAAAAAATTTCTTATATGTTGATCATATTCATGGCTTTTTATAGCTTTTTTCAATAAATTTTATTTTTTATTAGGGCTTTAAGGATAACATTAATGAAGAGAAAAGAAGTAATGAAAGCTTGGAATTTGATTCGCAGTGGCAAAATGAAAACGACTATGAAGCGGTGGACGAAATTAGCGGCACAAAAGTAGGTGAAGAAGATGGTTTAATGGATGAAACTGACAATAGATTAATGGAAGACGATGAAAATGGTGAAGTTCAGGAGAAAAATGTTGATAGTGATCCAACAGAAGATGAAACTGACGCTGAAGATAAACAATTTATAAAACCACGAATCAAAAAAAGAAACAAATTTTTATTTTCTGATGATGAAGAAATGGATGAATGTGAATGTCATGACATTCACATTGAAAATGAAGAATCGATTGCTGGCAATTCTATTATGGGATCCAAGCAATTATATTATAGATCAAATCAAGAGCGAGTAGTGAATCAGGAATCTAAAGATTTGTCGAAACGTAAGGATATAAATGACGATAAGCCAAGTAATAGAAAGAAAGATGAACAAGATTCAGATGCTGATTCAGTTGGCTCTACAGAATCTCTTAAACAGGTTATTTAAGTTTATTCTATGTATTCATTGGTTTTTTTTCGATTATTTAGTCAACATTAGATGAAATGATAAGAATTAGATGATAAAAAATTTAATAAAGTAATAAAAATTAGATGAAATAAACATTGGTACTTAGTTTAATTTTTTGGCTGAAAAAATGATCTCTGATGTTGCATATTATTTTGAGAAAACTATTGTTCTTATTATACTATTGTTCAAATTTCAGCTTAAAAGGATATTTTCAAATTCGGATAAGTCGGAAGACTATAGTCCAATGATCATTGATTTGCCACCATTTTCACAGGTTTTTCCAAATGATAACTTTCCCTTATTGTTAGTTTTTCATAATATTTTTGATTCCTTTTTTAATATCTTTAAAAATAATTGCAACTAAAAATTACAGAAATTTTAGTCTTAAACTTTCAATTGTTTCTTGAAATGCATTATTTGAAATCTTTGATTTGTTGGTTCAAAAAGAATTGAAATAAAAATAAATAAAGTTTCCAGCGATTTATATGTATTGAGATTGCAGAACAGCTTTGTTTTGTGGGGGTGACCGTCATAAGATAACAAAAACTTTACAAAACGATTTCAACGAGCCCTTATGCTCAGGAACTTTTGGTTTATTTTATATCTTTTTAATATATTTGTTTGTACATTAATTTTTACTGAATTTTACTGAATTGCTATGTGCACAATCTTATTAAATGTTATAGATACGCAAAATCTAGTGCCTAGCTCACTGGTTAATCGAAAACTTTATAATGGCGATGTTTTAGGCAATGCTGTATCTGTGAAAAATCCGTATGTTCAGTCTCTTCTATATTTCGAATATGTATTATTTTGTTCAACATATAAAACATAAAATTTTCAGAGATTCGGATATTTATTCTGCTGACACAAGTGATGATGAATTCGAAAAAGACGATGATAATAAAATAGATTCATTGGTTGTGAAGCAATTCAACACAAATAATCCAGATCGACTTTTTAATAGCAATGACGAAAAATTTAATACAGATGAGTCTCGTTCATCATCTCGTCACTCTGCTAAGAATGAAAATATCAGATACAGAGAATCAAACAATATTAATAATGAGGATTCGCGCAGTGATGATGATCTTATACGAAAAAATGTAAGGATTCATTCAAATGAATCAGTAGAGTATGTAGCAGATGAGGTAATTAATTTATTAGCCTTTTCCTTGTTTATCAGTTTTATTGTTCATGGCAAAATGCAAATATTTAAGCAATTATAAAAATATTAATTATGTAATTATGGAATTTTTATTAAGGAGGAAGATGCAAGAAATAATGACGAAGATGAAGACGATGAACTGAATTCTAGTGACGACGAGTTAAAGGTTTTTCGACGTCTACAAGATGCAAATTTATTTCAGAATATTAAAGGAGAAAGGAAGCGAAAGTTCAGGTATATTAAATTTAACATAAAATTTTAGCATGGTGTCGACACTGCGATGTCGGCATTTTTTTTTAAAGAGTTTTCACCATTACTGGTTAAACTCGCTTCTCTGGTTTGTCGCATTGGACAAATATGCCAGGGAGTCCCTTGGAGAGAAATATAGGTGAGTCGCCATGTAGTTTGATTTATCTGCATCCCTTCATCTGTAAGACTGTAAAATACTCTATTGCATCATGCAAAATGCTCCCTTTCGTTTTTTCTTTTTATCTACCTTTGGAGCCCCATACTCTCTTGTTATTTGTACAATCGCTTGACATTATTGCACTCGCAATGGCTTTGGATTTGTTTCTGTTGTAAACGAACGTTAACTTTGCATTTTTTCCTTTTTCATTTTAAATTTAACATAAAACAGCACGGTGTCGACACTGCGATGTCGGCATTTTTTTTTAAGTCGGCATTTCTCTGGTTTGTCGCATTGGACAAATATGCCAGGGAGTCCCTTGGAGAGAAATATAGGTAAATATAGTTATTTCCCAGATCAGCGCTTTACAAATAGATTGTAAATAGATTGTCGTCTACTTTATGCGATCCAGAGATAGATCTTTATGCGAATGGATGGGCTTATTTTGAGTAGGAATATTTTTTTTAGTAATATTATGATAAATTGTACAAAAAGTAAATTGAATTCAAAAGTAAATTATATAAAAATTTCTTAGCTCAATAAAGCGATTAAATTGTTTATGGATTTATCATAATTTACAATTCAAGATTAGTGGAATTTTTTATTTTTTAATTCATAATTTCATAGATCGGAGTTTATTGATGAAGAGGCTTCGCTATCAGGAGAGGATATTGATAGCGATAATGAAGATGAAAATGCAGATTTAGATGAATATGAAAAAGAGGAAGGAGATGAGGATGATGTCCCTGATGAAGAAACCTTAAAGCTTCAACTGAGCAAACAGTGGCTTAAAGAACAACAGGTTGTCTCTTTATGAATTTTTGTTAAAAAATGTGGATTTATCGTTGTTTCAAAATTTTAAAAATTTTTTCATAATAAATTCGGTTTTTAAAATTCTTGATGAAGTGGATTAAAATAAAAATTAGGTTTTTAAAATTATTCTTCATAAATGAATTAAAATAAGAAGTTAAGAATTCGAAAAAATTATTTTATACATATTTAAAATCAATACTACTCCATTAATAAATTTATGAACATTAAATTCTTTTCTAACAACGTTCATCGTTTCGCTGAGCACCATGAATTACTTGAGTACCATCAGAGGGATGAGAATACTGTTGAATCCATGCCGTGTTAACCATTCTTGATTAATGAGAGGCTTATTCTTGTCGACGCCCAAGTACTGAACCTTTTACCTCAGTGGATACAATTCAGTAATTTTTATAAATCACAAATCCATCGGAATCCACGATGGTTAAAGCAAATGTTAACTCAAATTTTCATAAATCTCCCTCAGATTAAAATATTCTTACCAAAGAAAAATTTGAATTTTTGGATTTTCTTTTATGCAAAATGAATCATATTTCAATCAAGCAAATAGACATTTTTTTTTTCATTTCTAAATTATTAATCCTAATTTTTTCGGATGTGAGAATGGTTTTTTTATCTATTTTGACTTTTTTCTTACATTTGCCATTTTTATCATTGTCGTTAATTCAATTGAATCCTATTTTCAGGATGCAGAAGATCGCAAACTTCTATACTGGAAGGAGAAATTATTTGTTGATGGAGATCTGCACATGGATACTGATCGCACTTTCCGGTTAAAACTAAGAGATGAAGCCAATATGAATGATCAAGCCTCTTGTGAAAATGAAACAGGTCCTGAAGATGTCGATGATGAAGAAAATGAAGAAAATTATGATGCAATGAAACGACATATCGAAATGCTCAAGTGGAAACTGAAAACTGATGTTAGTTCCGTAAAAAAGCTAGATTATTTTCGATGGCATTTTTGCTGTCCTTCAATATTTGCCATTTTTTTAACAAAAAATGATTTCCTTATCTCAATCTTTCATTCAATTTTTTTTCGAATACATTTTAAATGATTTCACTGAATTTACTTTTCTTCGAAAAATACGGCTGATTTATCGATTTACAGTTTGATCCAAATTCGCTCGATATCGATGAAGTAAATGGTAAAAATTCAATACTTCTTTCCACGGGTGCAGCTGCACTTAATAAAGAAAGTAAGTAGGCTTACAAAAATCATAACAATTTGTGTTAGAATTTATGATTTTTAAAAAGCAGAAAAATGTTCCTTTCAGATTCAGTAAAAACAAATGCTTCAAGTCAAACAATGACAAGTTCAAAAAAACATTCTCTTCAAAACCGCCAATCATTATCGGTTATTCTGAATCAGATGCAATCTATGACGAACATACCAACAAAAGGATTGTTTTTAGACGACGTAAGTTCATTAAAATAATTAACATAATTAATATGTGGTGCGGGATTTAATAACAAAATTTCTTAACTGAATTTACAAAAGAATTGTTTTCCTATTTCAAAATTTCTTCGATTACACTATCATTTAGTGGTGCAGGGACACCCCATCTTCTATTAACAAGTTTATTTTCATTATGCCACCATCTTTAAGGGGTTTAAGGTTCCGAAATTACCTTGCAAGAAATTGTAGAAATACGATGTTTTCTTTTGGAATTGCAGAAATACAGTATGTTTTCCCATTCCAAACTCTTATTATTTATTTGATGACTTTTTTTTTAGCGTAATATTGCAAAAAGACCATTGGGGACTCCAGCGGCAAAAGAACATCGAAAGCGTAAAAGATATGGTTCAATCAATTTATTAAAAAAATTACTTTAATGGTTTGACCATAATTCTATTTAAGTATAAATATTTTGTTATACTTTCAACCCAAATCATCAAAGTTATTCTTATAATAAAAAGTAAATGCATGAGACTTCACCTTTTATTTTTATCTTTTCTAATTTTTAATTGTTAATTTTGAGTTTTCTTTTAAATATTAATAAAACATTAAAAAGAAAGAGCGAAGCATACTTTAAATCGCCACTTCTTCAGTGTGTAACTATTTGTTTATCTACAGTTGTATTATTTTCTATAAATGTATTATTTTAAATAAAGATAAAATATTTTAATGAAATGAAAAATAACAAACAATTCATAAAATGGTTATTCATTTTCTTCCGAACGGACTCGTGCATGACCATTTGTTAGTTTGATATTAAGTTGTTGCGCTCGTTCCACAATACCTTTTCTTTTTCTTGCTGAGACAGCATGCGCAACTTCGCCTATGAATCGTTTATTCTGCATCAACAGCATATCCAAGTCCTCAAAAATCGTTGTAAAAAGTTGTAAATTGCGAATACTATCCGATAGAGAAATTTCCAAATCGTTAATTGAAATGTAATAACTGGGAAAAGCACTAAAGATGAGGAAAAAATAACTTTTTCATTACGAATCAAAATTTTTCGAAAGCCGTTAGGAAGCATATGTCGTGTAATTCTTGCATTTCCATAGCCAATATTAGGCATTCGCCTCTGACCTTTGAAACGTCGGCGCACACGATTATCTATACCCTACAAAAAAAACTGAATATTGAAAGGATATTTTATTACTTGTGAGAAGAGTCATTCACATGATGTAGACTGTGGGCTATGGCAGGGCAGTATTAATGTAGAGATGATATATGATATGATATAAAAGAAAGAGGGAAAACACAGCAAAATGGTTGTTGCTCAAGCCGTCGCCTCGAAGCTGGAGAATTTGCATGCTGCCTCTGATAAAAGTAAAATGTGCCATTAAAAATTCCGAAGGAAAAATTTCCATCGTACGAAAAACAATGGTGAATGTTCATTATTCATTTTCATCTTTCGCAAAATACTAAAAACCGGACGCATTGCATTACGCACCGATCATGAATTTTTTAAGCTTATTTGAAGAAATTTAGTTGAGATTTACTTTAGGTTTACGCCAATTTGGTCGAATACGGTGATATCGATCGGATTCATGCCGAGTAAACCGCCTCGTGCGCTTTTTTACAATTTTCACCCTTCTTCCATTGACGAGAACCATTGTCTGCTAAAAAATGTAAATGAATAAGATATCATTAAGCTAAAAGCAACGGAAAGCAAAGCAAAAAGTCACTGTCGATTGCGGTTATCTCAGGAGAAATCTCGCGAAATAAAACCACTGAGCAAGTGCGAGGGAGGAATCACGTGCGACCCGTTCCCACCCTCAAACGACTTCTCTGAATGCATCTCGAAAGCAGAAACGATGACCACTTATCATCTTTGTTTTTTAAAATTATTTAACGATTATCATTCGCTCGTCAAGCAACTAAATCAATGATAATCAATGAATTCGTACAATTATTTTTTCCTTATTTGTCGAAAATTTTAAAAATAACACCCCATAACCGACTACCAACCATTTAGGCCCTTCGTTCTTTTTTATTAAAGACTAACTAACCTCACTTACTACCGCTTTAAAACATTCATTCCCTCATAAGTCCTCTAGGAAATGCACCAAGGACATCTCGACAATACCGTAGTTGAAAGAATCGTGCCGAGACCTAAAACTTCGAACCCCCATCCCTCTGCCTCCCCTCACGTTTTTTTCATTCTACCCCTATAATTCAGAAATTTTCGCCATTTTTCTCATATCTCTCGATAATTGCCATTAATTTTGACTTGTTTTCTGCTATCGTTTCTGTCCACAAATGTCTTCCTTAAGATTCTCACCACAATAGCGCATCCAACTGGAATGAAAAATAAATATAAAAGACTTCGGTCCCGACATCCGCAGCAAGTCTAATCCATATTAAATGAAAGCGAAGACTCATGCGTATTTCAATAATCAGATTTCATTAAGAGCATGCCTTTTCAAGGTTGGAAACCATTTTGTTTAGAAAACCATTTAGAACGAAAATTTCATATAAAATATAAAAATGCTTAGAAATGCTTTGCAGTTTTAGCATTTTCATCATAAGCAAAAGATGGAATATAATTCTTTCTAGGAATATAATGAGGTCAAATAAAAAAGAAACCAAATCAGAAATCGGTATTAAATGTGGAAAAAAAAGAAATACTTAAAATAGATATAAACAGAAATAAAATAAAATTTCATCTTCGATTAGAATTCAGTGAAAACAGTACAAAATTAAATAAAAAACGAAGGAAAAAAATAAATACTTTAAGTACAAACAAAATATAAAAACGCTTCACAATCAATATGAAAATCTTTAGAAGACATCGTATTTGCTTCAGATATGAATTCAGATATCTGATCTGATATTTTAAAATAAAGAAATTAAAGTAAAACCAATACCTCTGAACAGACAGTAAAAAACAACCATTAGACACGAGTGAAAGAAAACCAAAAAAAATAACCCGATAAGTAAAGCAAACGTATAAAACAGTGCCAACTTTCTTCAAGTTCTATAATTTCTGATGACAGCAATAATCGACAATCAACTAATATGAATTTTATGATCTAATGGAAGCGAAATCTTCTAGTTCAACTGGAAGATATATTAAAATATGTTTCAAAAACAAATAAAAATTAGTTGGAATATTTAACAAATATAAAATTAGTCGGAAATATATAAGTAATGCAAAAGAAAATTAAGATAAAAACAATAAAAACAGAAAAACAATAATTAAAATATTTTTTGAGTAAAAAAAGCTGCATTTGTAAATTTTCATGAAAGACTTTTCAAACTTTTCAAAAAATGAGATGAAATGCAACAGCATGACCTTTGCACATTCTATTGATCATAAAAGTATTACTCGCATCCAAATTTCTTTTCTTTGGGATTCATTTAAAAAAAAAAGACGATTACAAAGTTTCGACTCTTAAACATAATTTTCTGAAATGAATGCACATGATAAATGAATTCTAAAACTTTTGAAAATTAAAGAAAAATTCATAAATTTTTACTACCTTAAAACTAAAAGAGCTAAACCAATTATTGAAAAAATGTAGAGCTTCGGAAATTTTTGATATTGAAACGTTTTTTAAAAACGAAATATTCATTAAAAAATCATACTGTAACGATATATTATATTATATTATCAGTTTCCAGTTTCATTCTCATTTCCTTTTATTAATGTATCATATATTCGATATGCCTCAGATCTCGTACAGCATCGTAGCTACAACCATAGAAAGTTCAGTTATCGAAGGCGATACTAGTTATAAGAAAAAATGACTAAATGTGACTGAAAAATCTGAAGAATAAGTACTCAAACGCTTTAAATGCAAATTAAAATAAAAATGAAAATGAAAAACTCTAAAAAAAATTAAGTACCTGCATAATAGCATAAATAATGGCTTCTGGCAATGCAACAGTGACAATGTAATGAAGACGTCGTAACGAAGAAGTGCCACCTATCGATTTGATTCTGGGTATATGATCATCAATATATTCAATTAAACAGGAAATAGAAGCTTCATCCAACAAACTACCTAAAATATTTAAACTAAACAAAAAAAGAATTTGAAGGTTTTCAAATTTTACATAAGAGAGTCCAAAATGATGAAATCGAGAAAACCAGCAGTCGAAAAATCAGATGAATCCTAGAAACGAATTAAACTACCTATTTTTAAATCGAAATGCAAAGGCAAATAAGATGGAATGGAATAAGTTTTATGACGACTACAATCAATCTGTTCAGATGCTATAGCTTTTAAATGGCGCATGCACATGTATGACATGGAATATTTAAGTATGTTATCAGAATCCAATATTCCATGTCCAATACTAATATCTTCAGTTGCAGCATCCGTAGAATTCTCTCCTAAAATGATTAATGATAATAATCCATGGTATGAAATCTTGACATTCAAAAAATGTCTCTAAATGAAGTACATCTCTCAAATTTTATAATAAATTTAAGAGATGTAATTTAAGAGATGAAGAGATAGACCATTAGCTTTTTCTTCGAAATCAATGTCAACTTTGTGATGACCTTGGATGATACTTTCAGCTTGATCGATGGCCGAACGCAACACATCATCTTCAACATCCTACAAATGACTTTTTTCTCACATTAATCATGCAATAGATAAATCATGGGGGTGCATTAGCCTGGTGGCTTCACTCGTTTAAAAGAGTCTGATACTTTGCTGGTAGTCCCGGAAAGGATGTAAACCTGTTTTTCAAAAATGCGAGTGCTGGCGACTAATCTATCGTCTAATTTGACAAAATTTGCCTGACCCAATAAGCCAGCGGAATCTAGAAGTGGCTTTACCAATTATATTGAAATTTAAAAGTAAAAAAGCATATATAATAGCACTGATGGAAATTCAAAAATTTATTCCTCCAGAAATAACTAAAATTAAATTTTTACGCTATTAAAATAGAAATTTTTTTAGGATTATTGGGATTAAAACTAATTTTAGAAACCTCGAATTCATAGGCAACTGTGTCGTATAAAAGAATATTTGATAATTTGGTAGAACATGATCTAAAATAAATTATTTAATGAAAAAAAACTAAATCAGAAAGACGAATAATGATCAGCAAAAACAAAAAATTCGATAGATCGTTGCAGACAATTGCAGATAACTATAAAAATCAATTAAAAATATCCAAAAAACGGGAAAATATAAAACAATTCGAAAGACAATGAAAAAGAAATATACCTTTCCTGAGCTTCTTTATTACCATTATCAACAGGTAATTCGAGGTATGTACACGTTTGACATTCTTTATCCACATTAAGTATCTGTAATTTCCAACATAATCGAAATATCTCAGCCAAATTTTAAAAGAAAATTTTACTTACAAGAACAGGCCATTTAACTGATTTTTTATTGACCGAACGTCTAATCCAAGCTATTTCGCCTTTAACTAAACTATTTAGTTTTTCGTTCATTTCTGATTCCAAATCCTCCAGATCCTCAGAAAATTTCATTTTTTTCGCATTATGTTTTGATAAACCGAAATTCTGCCCTAAAAACTATATTTGAAAAAGACAGCCGAAGATAGAAAAACATAAACATGAAAATGGTCAATACGACCATATAAGACCATTTTCTTGAATTCTGAGCTATATTTCAATAAAATTTAAAGAGAAAAAAATGAACTCGGAATTGTAAGTTCTTTGATGGCTACATTTGGTTGATCGGACGAGCCACTGCCATATACTGCCTTAGAGATCATTTTACTTTGGTCTATATTTGAGCTATAGTCCTCATCTTCTTCATCTTCCATGTCCAAATTTCCTTCATTCCACTGCTTCCTTATTTCTTTCAATTTATTTGATTCAATATTTTTTTGGATTGATTCACATGAATCGATTGGAGCTTCGCAGAATGCACGGCTTTTTTGCAGATACAGATAATCATAAGCGCCTTGTAGTGCCTGTTTTAATTCCCGGTTATTTTCCTGAAAAAAAAGGTCTTGAAAACTTTTTGTATTGCATAAGTATATATAAACGCAGATATAAATTCAAAAACTCTTTCTTCTGAAGGCACTCAGTAGTTCCAGCCATACTCGCTACATATGCTACTTTATCGGACCAGGATAAGAAGTTATTTGCTGAAAAAAAAACAAATAAACCGCTAGCAGCACCAAGGTTTTTGATAGACAAATTTATTTTTGCTTAGTATAGGTGCTTCGAAATGAAAACAATTGAATGAGCCATTCTACTGCACAATAGCGCAATAAAACTTCAAAAATGTCAAAGAAAATCCAGTGAATGACTAATCCTATAAGTGAATATATTGTATCGATCAAAATACCAAAAGTAAATTAAAAACTTGCTTAACCTATAACATTCACAAACCCTCTTAATTGCTCCAGCCAGCGCCTTACTGCTAAAATCAAATCGTTTGCAAGCACTAAGAGGATAAATTTCTGGTTTATGGTCCTGCTGAAGAGGAAATGGATCCACCATAGCGAATTTTTTTTTCACCTCACGAACCTAAAAATGGAAAAAAAACAATTAATTCAATTGCAGAAAATTTCCAGCATCAATTGAACGAATACAATCAGAAGACCATCATTATGGTATATAAAACAGAGCGAAACCCCAACCTTAAAATTAAATGAAATTTAGAAGTTTTAAGCACTTGCATTAAATTAAAATTTTAATTTGAAAAATCGAAAAAAAATTTGTTTCTATTAACAATGCTTTATGCTGGAAGACACCAATGTGCAAAAAAACAAATTTGAAACAAACCAGAACGGGCCATGCTAAATGATCCGGCACATTTAACCAAACTACTTCGCCAATATTGGCAAAAGATGTTAGTGTTATAGGAGAGCCTAATTCAACAGAAGCGATAGATTCACCTGAACCGTCCAATGCACGTTTTTGCGTTTTCATTGTGACAGCTGAAAAATGTGTATCCGTATGTATGTGAGCAAGTTAAAAAACTGGAGTTTAAAATCCATTAGAAATTGCATATACTGCATATTGCATAAATTGCATATTTTTTTCAAATTACTCTAATTTGAAAAAAAAAAAGGAAGCGAACTTGTTTCCAATTTTTTGCCATTATTTTTTAAAAGATCTACTGCCACCTCAAATGCTTCTTTCAGTTCATCACTTGCGTTGTTCGGTATCTAAATATAAGGCAAAAGTATACCAAATAAAAATTAAATTGATCAAAAAAAAACCAAATCAAATCAAAAAATCAAATTTTTAAAATCCTGAAAATAATTTTCATATTATTTTATAAAATAAAGGCAAGAAAATGCAATACAGATCATTGATCACTGTAAAAAGAAAATAAATACGAATTAGTCAACAAAAAAACGTAATCAACAGTAACTTCTCGAAAATTTCACATTACCGTGTCAATTATTGAAATATGGCGAAGTTTAGAAGGAGGACAACTGAATGATGCTGATTTCATGGCCGTTTTATCGACTGCATCTGGCAAAAACGAATACGTCACCTTTCTCGGATAAATACATCGAACCTAAAAGAAATTTTAACCAAAAAACAGAAAATTAAAATTTGAAATCAAAATGAAGAACTGCATATGTGCGTATAAATCTTTAGTGAAAAATTCTTTTTAAAAATTAAGTTAGGAACGTGGTATATGAAAAATGAAAACAGACAAGAACAAAAGCATCGAGCTCCAAGAAAGCTGAGGACAAATAGAGAGAAAATAACGCACTATAGCTGGCCATTCGGGAATACGCCTATATGGAGCCCACACGATATCGCCTGATTTGAATACACCTGAAATTAAGTTATTGGCTAGTATTTTGGCAAAATTTTTAACATCTGTGCAACTAAAATGTTTTCTTCGCAATTAAAACTCAAAGAAATATGAAAAAAATTAGTCGAATAAAAAAATCGCCAGAAAATGAAAATGAAAAATTTATTCGCGACTTGCCGACGTATTTTTACACCAATTTTTCTAATTAATTTACTCAGCTCTGCTAAATATTTAATTTTCTTATACTCCTTAATATGAAAAAGTTAAAAACAAAAAACATACTTGGTGTGGTAACTCGGTTTTTGATTCGTAGCAATTTTCGAACCATTTTGAAAACGATCAAAATTTTATCTGCAAGATGATAAAATATGTTTAAAAAAATTAGAAACTCTTTTTTATAGCCTTTTCTACTGTTTTTGCGACCGAAAATAGTAAAAATATATTCCAAAGAAGCAATTATTGCTGAAAAAAAACTAAATTTTGGTTTAAAATCCTGGGAATAAAGAAATCACAACAATTTAAACGTATTTTTCGCCATTATTTTGCAGAACCTCCCCCCTCCCTCTAAAATCATTCCAATTCCTTCCCTTTTCGCCTTCTCTCTTTCCCTCCTCACCACTTAACAACCAACATTTCTGTGAAACAATCCGGAGGCATTTCAACCTGTTTAAAAAATTACCGTAACGCAGATGTACGTCCTAGGACGAAATTTCGATAATAAATTACAGCTCAAAAGCGGCAAATCATACACATTGTCTTCGGAGTGTGGATAATTCTGGAAACCGAATGATGACTGGTTTTCGGTGGGGAAGTCCAGGAACAATTTGCTGGTGAATTGACTGGTTGACTGGCTGATTAGCTTAGGATTAATTCATCTTGCACAGACCATTTTAATTAAATAGCTTTTTTTTTTACTGCTTTGTTAACATTTCCATTAATGGTTGTTTATCGGAGAAGCAGAAGTCTGAAAAAAAGCTAGCAAAACGGAATCGCCAAGCGTAAATCCAATTCGGATGCTGCTTGGAACCCATTTAACGCATTTATATTCCGCCGTAAGCGAGTTAAATTTTTCAGCTTCCTTGCAGAAACATCACTGTTGTCGCCATTCTCCCCTATGTTGTGAATTTTTTGAATTTTTCCTGAAAATAATTTTGCGACCGGAAAAAAATATTTTAAAAATTGGAAAAAATTTACATACAATTATTAATAAATAATAAAAAATCAAAAATAAATACTAAAAAAATAAAAAATATGAAATAAAAAATGAACAAAAAACCCATTATTTGTGTGATACATTGGTAATTATATCGATAATAAATTAAGAAATAACTAAAATATAAACTTTATTAACTTGCAAAGAGCCATAAAGCGATGTGTCGAGGAGTCGAAGCAATAAATTCGACGAAAATAAGAATAATGCAAAATATTCATTGGAAAAATGGAAAGGACAAAGCAATAATTGGACAAATGTGAGAAAAATAGAAATTACTTGATTATTAATTAATTTTTCATAAATTCATAAGCGAAAGTAATGCTATGAGTAGTTTTGTTTAAGAGCCGTTGCCTTATGGCTTTGTTTTAAAACTATGTGCAACATCTATGTAAATTCCATCGAGAATCGAGGCCTGAATCCGGCCGAAGGAGACGCAGGCCGAATAGTACCATACCGCCTGACGAGAATTTTTATCCTTGTTGCCCAATTCGGAGCGGCAATGCTGAAATCCTACCTGCGAGAGGAGTAAGCCTCTCCAAAAAGCCGAGCGATGCTGGCGGCTCACCCCTACTTCTATCGCCAAGGGACTTCCCAGTGTATTTTTCGAATGCAACAAGCCAGAGAAGCGAATCTTACCAATAACAGTGAGTGCTTTAAAAAAAATTAGCCATAGCCTTAAGGCTTTACTTTAAAACTAAATGCAATATTTGTTATAGGTAATTTGTTCAGTGAATGAATAGCGCGAACGAACGAATTATGGCTTCACAATTGAAAAGACTATATTTTTATCAACTATAATTGCAAGATTCGATATATAATCGGAAGAAAATTGTAAGTTGAAAGTGATGCAACATCGGAATTTTTCGACTGTGTAGAAACCTGAATTTGAACTTAAGCGAAATGCCATTTTTCGAATTTAAAACGACTCGGATATCTCACAAATTGTCTGGCATATATATATTTGTTGGCCTAAAGGCATGTTGTGGGATTAAATGCAGTTTGATGATGCTTTTACTCCAAAAGATGAATACTTTGCTTGAGATTTCGATGGCGTAATTCTTCAAATTTTAAAGTAACTAGTCGAGTTTTAAATATAAATAGTAAATTTTGAAAAAATTCATTTCATTTCCTAAAAAACTTTTTTTCTTGTGAAGAAAATCGAATCCGTGTAGCTACTGCTGTATCGCTATTCCGAACTGACTATGGTGAATGGGTCAAGTAAAAGCAAGCAGTTTACAGTTTATTTCGATGTGCGAACCAGGCTTAATAATAGCACATTAAAAATGACTATGTAAATTCTCGAGCTGAAAAGCTATTCATTCGATTTTAGTAAGTCGAATGTTAGCCGATTGTGCGGCGATGGCAGATGTGTGGAGCCCTTATCGATGCTGAGAATCATCCACACCTTATCCAAACATCATTTGGATATCAAATGTGATGGATAACGGAGAACAAGAAATCAACTCGCTACCTCGAGTAAATGCTTGGCGACGATATTATTAATGCAGATGGCATTAACCTAGCTGACCGTCGCTAGAACGCGCGTGCCAGGATATGTTAGTTATCGAAAATTCCGTAGAATCCCAACTGTAACCACAAGACGAAACAAAAATCGATGCTGAAATGTTATGGCTTTGAATATTGAGATAGCAATTCGAGTGGTTCCATTGGCAGAATCTCACCTCCAATTTTACTCGAATATCATCTTATGATTTCACCATGTCCTTCGTCACCCTATAGGAATTCATGCACATCTCGCTATTTCCTAAATTCTACTTTGGATGGTATCGAGAACGAGGAGGGCATTTGAGAGCGCGACGGATACGATTAAAGAAAATTTTACATATAATTTTGACTGCATAGCACTGTACAGATTTAGACAGCGGAAAGGAGTTGCTTCAATTATTTTCAAGATCGGCATATACTGAGGAGGTGTGGAAAACGTCTCACCGTTAGTAGAAAGAGCCTAGAAATGGTGCCAGGTGCTGGATCCGAAAAGAGTTTTTGCATTAATAATTAATGGTGTTAATGGATGTCATTTTTTTAAGATAACTTCAATACAACTAAAATTATTGCCAATAATTGCCAACGATGATTATAATTTTTATGCGGGGTATCATTGTCAAAAGCTTTGACAAAAATAGAGAATGGTAACCCACATGATCTAAGGACCTAAGGAATCCGATTCAACGAAGTTTTGTCAATATTTGTGGCGCAGTAACTATCGTTGAGCAAGATCTTACTCAAATATATATAGTAAATTATTGCCCTTAATATATTCATGGACTAAAACACGACATCATACAAGTATTATGTGGTCAGCAGTTAACGTTCATCATTTTGGGTTGGACTCACTCAGCTGTCTATCGGTTAAAAGTTTTTGGAACTCACTTTGGGCGATGAAGTGACTGATAGGCAATACCCACTGGATTTTTTGAATAACTGGTTTATTTCTGTTGGAGACTCTTAACGCTGTTTATGGTATAATTATATAATTATAAGTCCATTATTAGAGGGTTTATCTATCCTTTTCAAAAGGTGAGAAAAAATTTTATGAAAAATTTTATTCATAATTTCCTCAACTGTAGATTAGCAGTATTCTTCATTCTTCGAAATATCCTTAAAAATTTAAAGATAAGCGGAAAGAAGAGAAGCTAAAGAGGCTGTTGTCCATAAGCTGTTTGAGGAATGTTATCAGAGAAAATTAAGAAAAACGATTATGGAATACTGTAGTCGACATCGATATTTTTTTCTTTCAATAATAATTTTCACTATTACTAGTAGTCGCCAGCGTCAGCCGGATTTTTAGACAGATCTACTCCTGCAGGGAATAGAACCTCAGCATCGGCGCTTCGAATTGAGCAACAACCCACTGAGCTATCCCTTTTTCACCAACTAAGCCCATATATCATTGGTCCCCCTATTGCGTTCAAAATCTTTTCTGATTGTATTAATCCAGGTCTTGATTTGTTCTCGGTTTTGACGCCATCCATCACAGGGTTTGCAAATAACAAAGAAATATATGTCAATTCGTGTGGTGACGACGAAGAACTTCTCGCAACCAGCGATGGCTTTGTGATGGTGCTGCCAATGCAGATGTTTTGAGCGAAGTGGATGCAGTCATGTGAGATTTTATCATCTGCTGGGAGAACTCCCAATAGCTTAAATATGAGTGGTCAAAAGCAGATATAGCTTTTTAGTGGCCTACACTCTTATTGGTCTTATCTCGCAGCCATACAGCAATATTGAGTGAACTGCAGCTATATGGACACAGATTGTTTCATTGTTTTCTCTCTTTTTATGGTGATTTCGTGATGACTGATGAAGGTTTCGTTAACCGCATGGAAATATTGCCAGCTACCGTTTCGGGATTTCATTCTTTGCGTGCCATTTTTGGATTAGATCGTATCCAGCATATTTAAAATCAGCGAGTTCGCCTCAACTGGCAATGAATTGATAAAATAAGTATTTTATCAGCTTCTTGGATATAAGGCAAAAAGACTTGGTTTCATTTACTTTGACTCTGAGCCCGATTCTTATTGAAGTTGTCGACAATAATAGTTTCAATAATAAAAAGTAATAAAATGTATATTTAAATACATAATTTTATGCATAAAATGATATATATGAAGGAAACTTCAGTGCTAATGGCATATTTAATTCGACCACCTTAACAATTTTATCTGTTTAAATTTGGCTCATATATATAGCCATTTTATAAATCTTAAATATATAAAGCTTAATACTTTAACTTGACTTCAGTATATAGCCGTTCCATGTTTAAATTTTGCCGGAAATTTAATTTGTGCTTAAATAAGCTAAGCAGTTTGAGTTTTTCAATCCGGTGCCTAACGCCTGAAAAAAAACTTTTTTCACCGCCGAAGCTTCAAATCAATTCGAAATGAAAAAACAAAGTACCACAGCGATGTAAAAAAAGAAATTTGCCGAGAAATTTACCGAAATTTTGCGCCAACATTAGACATTTCTCCATTTCTTTTAATGCCTTTTTTTGCCTTAAAAAAATGAAATATTTCGCATATTTTCTTCATAAATAATACGAATCAATAATTATTTCGCTTTATTTATCTATTTTAAATATTTTAATTCAATTATTT